TTTCTAAATATTATGCTAAAGGTATACTATTATAAATTCTATCCCCTTGCGCCTGCTCCTCCTCCTACTCCTCCTCCTGCCAAATCTGACACAGACTAGAAAAAGATGATGAATATGGTGGATTTAGTCTTTAGATAAGATATAGTAGATGCTAAATTAGACAATTTAATAATAATAATAGGTTAGTGTCCTATAGTTACTAATCACTATATTTATATCTAATATATTAGTATTATAATTAGAGTTCTAGAAGCTTTAAGAGTATAGGTGCTCTATAACAACATCAAAAGAGATCTAAATTTCACTAGTAAAGGATAAGTATAACCAAGCCAGCAATAAATATTATAACTAGTATAAATATTATAGCTTTTTAAGGTCTCTTAAATATTTTTCCCTATAGTTAGACCTTTATTAAATATTAGAGATGTCTACCTATTTAGGCTTAATATTATCTTACTTACCTTTTCTCTCTCGCCTGCGCGCATCCTAGATCATTATTATTATTATCACTATTATTATTTATTTATATATATCTCTTCCACTTTCTCCAGGCTATTTATTGCCTAATATTAAATAATTTAGTAATATACCCTTCTTGTTCTACTCTAGGCTATTCTCTACTTTAATATAAATAGAGAAAGCTTACATTCTGCTTATGGGGGAGATAGGGAATACTATTTATAAGGCCTAAAATAAAAGGCCTTCTATAGTATTAATTATAGATATATTTAGGTCTTTATTAGTAGTTAGTTATATCTTAGTGCCTTACTTACTGCTTTTAGGCCGCGCCCTTAACTACACCTTTTCTTTTTCATCTACACAGCTGAGACCTCTCTAATTAAAGGTGGTTATTTCTAGTATAATAGCGCAGGTGTATTGCTATAGCTAACTAGTGTATTATTAATCTAAATTTTATTATACTTAAGGGGAGTAATTACTAATTATTTAACACTAAAGAATAAATATATATAATAGAAGTAATAAGGCGTCTAATTAATTAACCTAATCTAGATCATATCTAACACTGCGGCATTTTTATCATTGGTTTTAGTAGTAGATATAATATATTATATCTAGATGCTTACTAGGGATGTTGCAGCTAACTAATTTATCACTAGTCTAAATTTTCTTATACTTAAAAGAAGTGATTACCAATTATTTAATATTAGGGGATAAAATAAATATATATAGTAGAAGCAATAAGGCATTTAATTAATTAACCTAATCTAGATTATATCTAATAATATAATATTTTTGCTATTAGTATTAACAGTGGACGTGATGCATTACATCTAAATATTAGCCAGGGCTATTAAGGTTACCTAAGGTAGTAAAAGTCTATAGGCATAGTAGTGACAGCTTTAGGAATATAATAAGAAGCTTAAAGGGTAGCTTAAAGGGTCAAAAAGGTAAAGAATATTATAGTTAGAATCTAAGTAAGTCCTTAAAGTAATATTAGGCAAAAGCACATAATAAAAAATAGTAAGGAGTAAAACCTAATATAATAATATTATATTAGGTTAAAAATGCTCTAGTTAAATAGCTTATAAATTACCTAAAGAGGGGAAGATGAGGGGGCAGTATAGTGGATATAGCAGCTAAGACAAAATAAAGGAAGGTAGAAGAAAAGGAGAGGAAAGTAAAAAGTAGAATATAAAGATATATTATTATTTTAAGATAGGCAGCTTAAGTTTATAGAGCAGATATCAAGATTAAGACACATAAGATGCGCTTTCCCCTAATAGGAACACTATACCATATCAAGTAATTCACCGTCCCCTCAGAGTACAGAGTACCTTAGGTATGTAGCAGAGTAACTACCTAGTAGTTACCTGGTGGTATGTAAGAGTACCTGGGTACAGAGTGAGGTAGAGGTTGGCAGCTAGAAGTAAGGTACTGGTACTACTTACTACCTACGGTAACTAACTGCTAAGCTCTCGATTTATTAGTATTGCGGCAAAGTCATGTGAGCGGCATTTGCCTTCCAGTCAGGTGAAATGGGAGGCAAAAAGAGCCTGAGGCCACAGCTCCAGTTCAAGGAGTCTCAGTTCCCCCCTCCACCTTCCAAGGGCTTGTTTCACCGATCGGACGACTCCCGTTGACGGTACTCGGTACGGTACTCCCTATGAGGTAGACAGATCTCCCTCGAGCGTGTCGCTCCAGCTGTGCTAGCGTTTCCGCAACAATGCTCGCGTCGCTGCTGCGTCCCAAGAATCGCCGCCAGGGGTACTCGGAACAGTCGCCCTTCTCCTCGCCGTTTACTGCGCGGGAGACAACGCCATTGTTTCGCAAACGACGGGAAGATGTGACGCACGATGAGCTTCCGGATCCTCTAGAGCCGGGGGAAGAAGACGGGGAAGGGGGAGACGAGGGAGAGGAAGAAGAAGAGGAGGAGGAGGAGGAGGAAGACGGGCCTCAGGAGGCAATGCCGCTCCTGCCTATTTTTTCGGCCTCTCACTTGGGTATGGCTAGAAGAGAAGAATGATTGAAAGAATTGGAAGGCAAGATTGCTAAGAAATAGATTCTCTCCCTGTCTACAACCTCATCCACGCCATCCGCCCGTTGATCGTCGCCCGCTGCGAAACCCCCCTGTCCTGGGACCAGCTGCGCTCCCCCCAGGTCTCGCAGTTCCTCGTCAAACCCATCCAGCAGCAGATTTTGACGGCTCACTTCTCCCGCGCCACGCTTTATGCCCTGCTCGCCAACTGTCTGCAGTTCACCAAGGAGGTTCATCTCAATCCCGGCAACAGCGGCACTAGTCAGACGAGAGCGATGGTGAGCGAGCTGCTGGCTATCAAGCTGCTCAAGGAATACACTACCCGGGAATTGATCGATGCTCTCTCCTACGAGTTCCATCCGCTGCAGGGCCAGACGCCGCCTCCGACGAACAGCTCGCAAGGGGGCCCGGATTGGGGTTCCGCCCAGAGAAACAAACGGCTGCCCGCCGCCGCGCGCATCTCCTGTCTGGAGCTGGCGATCCGTGCCCAGGCGAAACGATTCCTGGCTCATCCGGTGGTAGTCCAGCAGCTCGAGGCGATCTGGGCGGGAACGATTGTCTTTCATTCGACGGCAGACAATCTTCATCGCAGTGTAACCTCTCGGACCAGACCGACGTATGGCACCGCTGGCCCGAATGACGCCTTTCCAGGTCGGTTGCAAGCCAGCATCGCTGCCGATCAGAGCCCGGCGAGTCTGCGCCGCTCGGTCACGCTCTATGACCCTCGAGATGCCTCGCTGTTCAAGCTCTCCCGACTGAGAGTGCCGCGGTACCGACAGTTCTTGTCGACTCTCTCCTTCGCCGTCCTTCTCGGTCTCTTTCTTGCCGTGTTGAACGGGCGGCGCCAGGAGATCACCTCGCTGGAGGTGGTGTTTTGGTTCTGGAGTGCTGGCTTTATGCTGGACGAGATCGTCGGGTTCAACGAACAAGGGTTCAGTCTTTACCTGATGAGTTTTTGGAACATCTTTGATTTGGGCATCCTGCTGCTTCTCGTCTGTTACTACTGCATGCGTCTGTACGGCGCGGTGATGCCGTACACTCGCAACAAGATGGTTGCCGACCGGGCGTACGACATTCTGGCCGCCAACGCCGTCCTGCTCTTCCCCCGTCTCTTCTCGATATTGGATCACTATCGCTATTTCTCCCAGCTGCTGATCGCCTTCCGTATCATGGCATCCGATCTGGTCGCAGTGTTCCTGTTGGTGATCATCGCCTGCAGCGGCTTCTTTGTCGCCTTCCTCTCCTTTGGCGACAACTCGGCCCCCGGCCCCATGGCGTATGCCCTCTTCCAGATGCTGATGGGGTTCACCCCTACCGCGTGGACCATGTGGGACGAGTACAATGCTCTGGGGAAAATCATCCTGACGATGTTCCTGTTCATCTGTCATTTCGTCGTGGTGACCATCCTGATCACCGTGCTGACCAACTCCTTCATGGCCATTGTCCAAAACGCCAACCAGGAGCATCAGTTCCTCTTCGCGGTCAACACGATCTCCATGGTCAAGTCCGACGCTCTCTTTTCCTACGTCGCACCGACCAACATCTTCGCCTGGATCATCACCCCGCTACGGTACCTCATGCCGTTCCGCCAGTTCATCCGGCTCAACCGGACCATCATCAAGATCACGCACCTGCCCATTTTGTTTTCTATCTGCCTGTATGAAAAGACCATCCTCGACGCGCAGGTGATCGAACCCACAGATCTCGTCGAGAACCGTCACGGCCTTCGCAGCCAGTCGGACCGGTCGCCGACCCGGCACCACAGCCGGTTCCACGCCTTCAATCCGAACGCACCTCGAATCGTCCGGGAGCCGTCGGTGGCGACCTTCCAAAAAGACCGAGCGCTGGAGGAAGTGTTTCGTCGGCGGCCTTTCATCGACGAGACCAACCGTCGCAGGGTTCCCCGGAAAGCCAACCGGCAGCAGACCAGCAATATCGTCAACCAGTGGATGCAAGATATGGACGCCGGGCCTGCCAATCCGCCCGACGAGCAGGATCCCGAGGAGGTGAACCGTCTGGAGGCTCTCCCTCCTCGGTTACGATTTCCGCTGCGGCGACGCTTCATGCCTACCACGCGGGACTTTACCGAGACGACCCGGTCTGTCGCCTCGAATCCGGAGGAAGTCATGAGCCGGTTCGACTCTCCCTCAGCAGTGCCCCGGCGGATGCGCGATTTCGCGTCCCCCGAACGAAGCCGACAGCTGTCCCGACATACGGACATTGAAGGAGACGATGAACTAACGAGCGGAGACAATGAGGGAGACGATGAGGAAGATGAGGAACGGGAAGAACAAGAGGAACCTGAGGAAGAAGAGTCGAGGCGAGTGACCACCAGCGCAGGGAAAAGCACGCCGAAATTCTACAGTTCCCGCCCGTCGACCGCAAAACTGGTCTCGCGCAAGAACAGCCCCAGCCGCCGACACCGCGCCCACCATCGCACCACCTCCGGGGCCACAATGCTCTACAATCCCATCCCGGCAGAAAGCGACGCCGAAGAAACGGAAGACAACCAGTCGGTTCCTATCCGATCGGGCGCAGGTGAGGGTGGCCCCGGCCTGGCCACTTCAGCAGATCAATTCACCACCCTACGCCGGCGCCATGACTCGCGCACAGCACTGTACTCGAACAACCCCATGTCCGTGCCAGATCTAGGCGGGTTCTACATGCCCCGTAGTCCCGGGGGGGAGAACTCCCTCTCGCCATCTACCGTTGGAGAACGCGGCCGGATGATGCCCGCCGCCGCCGCGATGCTGTTCGATCTAGGCTCAGACCTAGGCGACAACAAGGTGCTGGCGGGGGGCAACTTCCCCGCGGCGGTCTTACCGGCCAGCTTCTCGACGCAGATTGGATTTCCGACGGCCACACCGGGTGCAGGGCGACGCCCTCCTCCTCCTCCTCCCCCGGCCGGCGACGTACATGATCAAGACATGCTCAGCAAGCTGGTCCTGGCGCGGATGAATAACATCGAGGAAGGGTTCCGCGAGGTGATTCGGGAGGTTAAAGATCTGGCGAGTCGTAGTCAGAGTCGGCCGGGGAGTCGACGAAAGAACGAGAAGAGGAGGAAGTAGTTATTTTTGTTTTTTTTTTCCCTTTTGTCTTTGATCTACCCTGGCGGTTATCTGATATACGATACCCATACATAGTTGTCTATTCTACTCATTCTCGCCATACACGGGTCTTCTTTCCTCTCTGCTAACCATCATCTTTGACTATTATTTATGAACATGAGTAGACTTCTTAATCGCCTGATGGATCGGCCGACCGTCTTGATCCGTCTGTCTCCCCTCCTGTCCACGCATGGCTTCTCGATCCTGAGAGTTGATGACGGATTCCGTTCGGGGGTTGATGGCTTTGCCGATGAAGTAGGAGGCGATGCTTATTCCTGCCAGGCTGGCGAGAATGAGACTGAGTAGTAAGTATATAGTATATAGTGTATTGTATATTGCATGAAGACTTACTTGTTTTTGCGGTGCATTTTGAGTGTTGTAGAGATGAAAATGTCATCTATTCCTTTATGACGCTTATCCTCGTATATATATTAACCATGGTTCTGCAGTCCAGATAATACAGAGACTACTGAAGGTATAAAATATTTAATATTGATATTCAATATCCAGTATACCCTGTCAGTAAATAAGTAATAACCAAAGCTGCATCCCTGATTGGGGAGAAGCTGCAGCCTGGAGCTGAGATGAGTTTGATTCACCTCTTTCTTTCTCTTCTCTCTTCTTTCTTTCTCTCTTCTTTCTTTCTCTCTTCTACCTTTCCCCTCTCTCTTCTCTCTATTCTATCTCACCTGCTCTATTTCTCTTCTCTTTAACTTCTTCACTCTCTATACCCTCCTGCTTTACTTCTCTTCTGCCTCTCTACCCTCGCTTCATCTGTTCTAATACCTCGTCTACCAAGACCGCCATGGACACCACTCTTCCTATCCGTCCTCGCGAGATCCCAGACCAAGATACAATGAACGAGAGCGTGGACGGAGATAGAGATGGAGATGGAGATGGAGAGAGAGATGAAGTTGGAGATAGAGATGAAGATGGAGAGAGAGAAGATCAAACAAACGAGAAAGACACAGAGCCTCAAAGTACGCAAGGTCAGGACAACAATGAAGAAGACAATGAAGAAAACCTCGATATGTCACATCCAGCGATGGCGGTCGCTCACAATCTCGCCCTCCCCCTGCTGGTCGCCAGCGACGCAGACACCCTCGTCTATATCGACCCCGCGCCCGAAGCGAAAGCCCTCGCGGCCACCAGGCTGATCATGCCACAGCTGGGTTTGAACCGAGTACACAGTCAGAAATTGCTGGATACGGGGTCCGACTACTTGAAGTGCCTGTTCGACCCGCGCGTTCAATCACGAGCCATGCGTCGGCGGTTTCCTTCTGGGTTGCCCTCGGCCTTTCAGAGCATCAAGTACGTGCTCGACCTGACCCCGCCCGAGGTGGACGAGGAGGCCGTCATCTTCCTGGCGGAATTGTCCTGCCCCTTGGGTGTCCGGGTGTGGGCACGATCTAGAGCGCGCTGGGGGCTGCCCAGCTCGCGAGTCGAGGGCGTCGACGAGACCGACCCTGCAGACCCGGAGATGCCCCTGGAATATTCCCAGGCGAGACACCGCACAGGCATCGAGCGCGTGCTACACGCCCTGGAAGGCCAGGACCCCTGCCTCGACACGCCGTGCAAGATGTGGACGTTCTTCGCCCTCGCGCGGCTCTTCGGGGTCGCCGCCGCGCCTCGTGCCTTTGACCACATCCTCTCCTGGTTCTTTGAGCCGAACAACGCCACATTTATCCAGGTGAATCCGGAGCTCACGTACCGTATCGCCTGTGGCATCCGGTATCCAGTGCTCTGCCGTGACGCCTTCGCCATTCTCGTCGGCGAGGAGGCCCTTCACCTGCTGCTTGATGACCAGTCGCAGGGCCGCCCGCGTGCCCAGGCGACCCGGTATGGTCGTCTGCGCGAGACGCTCGACGACACGGAGCTGCAGCGCATCGAGTACGCCAGTAAAAGTTTCCTCGACCATGTCCTCGACCGCTTCGTCTACCTCGCCGGCACCACAATGCCCTGGCTGGAAACGCTCCCCGAGTACCGCAAGATCTTGGACTTTTCCCCAGCCACCCAGGAGCAGCAAGTGGTTGTCGTCGCTCTCGTCGACACGGCCAAGAGCTACATCCGTGCGTTAATCTACCAGATGCTGCGCCCGCAAAAGGTCTTGCCCCTGGTGGGATTAGTCACCGGCACACTGAAGGATGGAAGCTTCCAGGACTATCCCGGCGCGACCTTGCTGACGGCGTATAATAGAATGCCAAGCTTAGCTCGCATCCTGACCCGGACTTCCTGGGAGAATCTCGTCTCCGACACTCTCGCGAGCGATCAGGAGCACCTGTACATTCGGAAAACCTCTCTTAGAATCCCGGAACACGCAGGCCTTTCCGCGACTCTCACAGATCAACTCTGCCTGGAAACCCGACCCGTGCTTGTCAGCGAAGTGAGCGATGCCACAGAGGCTTTTCGCGAGATCTCCTTCGTGCAGTCTGGGACTGAAAGACAGCAACGACTCCGACTATTCTCCTGGCCTCAGCTCATTACCGAGGTCACCGCCTACGTCAACGAATTCGCACAGGGTATGCTCGCCTTCCCCGAAGCAGAGAGCAAGTCGTACGGCTTCCGCTTCGCCATCACCGCCACGCTCACCTGTCTGACGGAGAATGAGTTCCAATTCCTACCTCTATGGGCTGGGGGTAATGACGACGGCACGGGAGGCGTCTTCCAGGGTCCCCCGGTTCCTCTTATGGAGACCGGGGGGTTTTCGGCCCCAGGTCCCTCGGTGCACACGGGGAGTGTCGCAGCCACGTCGGATCTAAATGATGACGACGACTTTAGTGAGATTCACCCGGATGACGCGGTGAGCACGGTGCTAGGAGCTTCCCATCGGGCTACGGAGGGACACACGGACGAAGTTGTCTCTGTCAATGAAGAAGTCGTCCTGGTTGAGGCGTTGGAAGGAGAAGCCCTCGATTGGAGCCAGCTGGATCATGTCTCGAACCATCTTGACTTGGACGGGAGTGACGACGATACCATTATGGGATCACCGGAGACTGTTGGGCTGAGTGATGGCGAGCTGGTCGATGATTCGGATGATGACTGGAATGATGAGCATGAACATGATGAGTATGAGCATGATGAAGAGATACCATAATGACCGAATGAATGATGAATTGAATGGACTGTGTTTTTACTCCCATGTTTTTTTTGCCCTCGTTTCTATTTTTTTTTTCTATTCTTCTCTCAGGAGGATTATCCACATCTTGAGATTTTTTGGCGTCTATTCACTGCAGATTCCCCCGATGATGGATGTTAGGCAACCACTGGAAGTCCAGTCACAGCTTCTAGGTAGATACATTATTGTAGACTCTTCATCAGTTTGATACCTCGCTGTGTAATCCATTTCAGCCCCCCTCCACGCCATGGATCTCGAATCTTTTCAAAACGCGATGGAGAGAGCTACCGACCAGCGTCATCGTGAATAAGATAGCTGTATGGCGATCTAAGCACCGGGGAGACACGAGCGTTGATTTGGCGGAGCTCGTCGAGTTCATACGAGCCAACTCGCCCGTCGAGAAACCTTGCCATGCTCTTCAGGCTGGGGTAAATTCCATCAGGCTATGTTTTCCTGGCCTTTCAACGATGGCGAGTGTCCCTGAACCTGAGGTTCCTCCTCCTCACCTGAGCGCGGTCTTTGCATTCCCTGTGTCGCAGTCGATATCAAGCAACGAGCTTGAAAATTTTGTCGTCTGGATGCGCGGTCTCCCTCGAAATATCGGACTGAGTCTTGAGAATGTCTATGAGACACAATCCATGTGCTTCATTTTCAGATCCGGGTATGCGTTCCCCTCGAATCTTGCTGGTATTCCAGGCGTTTCGCTTCTTTGCGAAACAAAACTCCCCAATCTTGTCTCCCTAGTTACCAGTACCGCTCCTCCCCAAGCCACTGGATCCATTGGACCTCACCTCCCTTTCTCCAGGGGTTCTCTTCCTCCCCCCAAGCGCTGAATATGATTCTGGGGTGAGTGCAACCCTCGCAGTCGAATTGCCCTGTCTGCAGAGGGGCTCGGAAGGAGTGTCAACTGCATCATATATAGTGACCAACTCATTGAAATGAACAATTAAGTCCTCCTATTCGTAGCCAGACGTTGCAATCAGCGAGGTAGAATCGTTATGCCAGACCTGCATATCTGCGTAGTTGTGTACACCGCTTACTAAGCTATGACTAAGACTTGGCGCGACGTCAGGAAAGACGTCAGCAACAGCAACAGCGACAGCAACACGACAGACGACAGACAGCAGCGTGCATCCAGGGACGGTGATAGTCATTGAGAGAACCGTGTATAAGTTCCATTCACACGACTGGCATGAGATTCAACAAGTCGAGATAATCACTACTGATTAGCATTCGCCATGGCGTCTTCGTCAAAGCCGTCGAGCTTCCTTCTTTAGTAGGACTTCAACAAAAAAACAAGAAACAATGTTGCCCAATGCTTACTCATTCCAGTACATGTGTTGCCCACCGCACGACCATCCTTGCAGAACACTCGTCGCCGGGCTCGTCCGCGACGGCAGCCTCGTCGCTCGCCTCCATCATCCTCCCGAAGATCAACCACGACCGCCCCCAGAAACTGACCTACACCCACGAACGGCTGTTTGTGCACTACATTGCCGATTCCATCCATGACGGAGACGATAATGGGGCCTCCAATGGGGGAGAAGGGTCCTCGTACGCACCCCTAAGTTACATCGTGGTCGCCACCGCCGAGCAGGGCCGTCGCATCCCCTTCGCCTTCCTGCTGGAAATGAAACGCCGGTTCCTCGGCATCTACCAGCCGGGGGTGACGGATTTCGCATCCTTACCGGCGTACGGGTGCGCGGGGTTCAACACCGACCTGCGCACCCTGCTAGCGAGCTATAACAGTGCGCCGCCGGCGGACGCGCTGGCGAGTGCCCGGCGCGAAATTGACAGCGTGCGGGATATCATGACGGAGAATATTGAGCGGGTGCTCGAGCGCGGGGAACGCATCGATCTCCTCGTCGACAAGACTGATCGGTTAGGTGGCAGCGCGCATGATTTCCGCATGCGCAGTCGCGGGCTGCGGCGCAGGATGTGGTGGAAGAATGTCAAGCTGGTCGTTCTCCTCGTCGTCGTCGTGATCTTCTTGCTATATCTTTTTGTCGGGATGGGCTGTGGACTGCCTGCTTGGGGGAAGTGTGTGGGATGATTCTGCTTATTGATGCTGACTCGTTGGCTGTGTTACGACTTGATGCATAGCGTTGAGCCTCGGTTGCTTGGAATTGGCATTGCCTCATGTACTTATTATTATATCCATGTGCTTCGATGACTATAGCTGTATTTATACAAAGCCCATACTTGTATTCAATCACTGCTCAACTACATGTCTCTCACTATCAAACCCCCATCTTCATTCGAATCAGAGCGAGTCTGCAAGCGAGGCTCGAACCTGGACTTGTCCAGGTCCTGCTCTTGCTCTGAGCCATTCGTTTACCGCGCCGGCCATCAGGCTAGGCCGATCGACGCGGAGATAATTTGGCTCGTAAAACCTAATGGGATCACGGTGTCAATCCATGGTCGAGGCATAAGAAATTCGAGACACTGTCTTGTCCCTCAGAATCATTTTCTGGTCCTTCGCATCATTAACGAAAGCAGAAAGCGATGGTATCCCTCTCAAGCGGAAACCTGACACAATTCCCGTCTCGTCTTCTTTCTGACCATCTTCTAACCTGCTGTGAATATCTGTCAGGCTGTGGCCGAGTCGTGTTGAATGTTGTTGTTGTTGCAGTTATTTTGTTGTTGTCGAAGACGAAAGTTGAGATGATCCACTGTGCGTCACGTGATCTCCGCTTAGATGTTCACCGCCCGAAGACCGGTTAGCGCGTCGGCAGAAATATAGATCCACGTGACTGGCGCGCCCGCGCCGGGCAAGAACAACAGATGAGAAGATCATTGGCAGTTGCAGGCTGAAAAGAGGTGAAAAGAGGGATAGAAGGATCGAAAGGACCTCCAGGGAGCTTTGAGAAGTTCTTCTTCACCCGCTAGCCGGCATGATATTCGGCTTTGAGCGTTCAACTCTCGTTTTTCCGACCGCACGACCTTCCCAATGACCTCACACGAACCGCGAAGAAAGTGTCTAGACCTCGCCTGGGCTAAGCTGCGTTGACAGGCTATACCTCTGCCCATCAGAAAGACGATTGGAGTCGGCGTGAAATGTCATACGACAACTACGACTGGCTGGGGAACTACCCGTCGCCTGGCGGGTACCAGGAGTACCAGGGCCAGCAAGGCGAGAGTCGGCGGACACAGTCGAACAATGCAAACGTGAACGCGACCTCGAATCACAATCCGGCTCCCAATGGCAGTTCCAGCTCAAGTATCGAGCCACCGTATCCTGCTCCCCCGTTTGGCGGGCCTGGATGGATGGACACCAACCCGTACCTCGTCCCACCGCAGTACTCCGGGTCGTCGAACTACAACCAGATGTTCGACATGCCGCCGCAGGGGAGACTCAGTCACATTCCGCCCTCCCCCTTTCGCAAAACCTCTATCTCGGCGGCGCTTTCTCCCACGCCGCCTATGAACTATATTGCGCCGTATCACCTCACCTCGGATCTCCGGAATGAAAGTATATCACGATATGAGCCTCCCTCTCTTTCGCGCGGGAGTATACCACAGGCCAGCGGGGATATACCAAGCTCAAGACGGGAAACAGGGCATCCCGGAGGTAAGCAGCTCACGAAGAAAAGGCGTCATGTGGACAATCATGCAGAAACTCGGGCACAGGATGTCCTGGCGCAGCCTGGGGGGATCAGGTCTTTGTCTCGAGTGGAAGATACACCACCCCCGGCCATAGGTTCGATCCGACAACCATCCAGCCAGAGTATTCCTGAAGTGGACAGTTTGCAACGAAGTGCATCTTATCAATCATCCAACCAGAGAGCTCCTGTAGCGGGCAGTTTCCAAAGGAGTGGTTCATCTCACCAAAGTTACAGTCAGAGAGCTCCTACAGCGGGCAATTTGCAAAGTGGCTCATCCTATCAACCATCTAATCGGTCTCCGTCAGATCTCAGATACAGTCCTCTCCCACCACCATCATCATCGCCGCCAGTGCAGAACTCGAACTACCCGCCACCACCAGCCCTGGAGCCAAGTTATGAGGCGCCGAATCGTTCAGCTTTCAATAATCTTCATGCATATAACGAACGAAGAGCACAAGAAGCAATCACCTTGCTCAACGAGCAAAGTCAGCTTCCACACCAGAGGGATACTGCTACATCAACTCCTATGAGCAGCTCCTATCCGCCAATCCCTGACACCCGGAAGAGTTCCGCCACACCATATCCCCCCCAGATTATCACCCCCCCAGCAGTCGGTCCAGAATCGACCTTTACTTTGGAGCATACGGTTACTTCCAGACAGCAGTCTGCTCAGTACCAACAACATGAAGACCAATCGCAGATTCACCTTCCAGAACCCCTGTTAGATCAGCCAGCTTACCAACCTCCTTACCAATCCGTAAACCAGGATGAGGGCAAGAAGCAGAAGCAGAAGCGGGCCCGGAAAAAAAGCGAAACCACTCCGCGCCCAGCGAAGAAACCGCGAAAGACTCCAACTCAACCCAAACCGCCAGCGTCACATCACTTTGTGACCCTCCCTGAAGTAGAGACCCGCATGGACACGTGGGAAACTAGGCAGGAGGCCCAGGAGAATGAGGAGGAGAGAGTGTCTCTTCTGAGTCAGTTTTCCCAGCGGAGAACGCCGACGGTGGCAAAGTCGAGCTCTCCACCGATGGCCAATTCACACGGGACAGCATTTTCCCGGGCGACATCACAATCATCTTCTCAGACAGTCCTTGGTGAAGGTTATCCGCAAACCAGTGTAACGCCGCTTCGGTCTACCAAGACTTCAGTGTCTTCACATCCAGGGAGCGGCCCTCGAAACGAGATCCCGCAGATTCAGTCAAGTAAACCCAGACAGTCGCCTTCGAACTATACGAAACCTGGTCAGACTCCCGAGACAGTGACTGTCCCGGCATTTCGAAAAGCAAATGGGTCAAATGTCGCTGCCAAACCATCGTCTCCCTTGATCAACAGTCTGTCTGCGGGGACAGCTTCTCAGGTGAATAAACCACCTGCCAAGGTATCTGCGGAGCCAACAGTACAGCTTTCAAAGACAGCCTCTGCCCAAGTGAATCAAGGATCATTGAATAAAGGATCTATTCAGACTCCAGCTCAGGTCTCTGTGACACATCAATCACAGAGAGGTTCACAAGTGGATACTGGGCCTGTTAATGCGCCTGCCAAGATGCCAGCGACTGATCTAAATACAGCCCCCTCTAAAATAGGTGCTGGAGCTGTATCTGCTGATATGAAGAGTGTTCCTATTAAGCCATCTACTTCTCAACAAGAGGGTCGGGTTTCATCACCTCGACTACAGCCTTCTCAGAAACCTTCTACGCAGCCTCAGAAGGTCACCACTATGCAGCCTCAGAAGAACACCACAACGCAGCCTCAAGCAACTCCTTCGTCAAAAGATCCCCCACAGTCACAGATCAACAAGACACCCTTTCCAGCGACCAGCTCATCTCAGACATCAGGCCGGATGGACAGTCCCGCACCTCGTGAGATCCCAATATTTGACTTGACGGCACCTCCTCCAGCACCACCTCCTCCTCCTCCTCCACCTCCTGTTTCGATGCCACAGCAGGCAGCCACGACACCTTATGCATCTCCATATCTCCCACCCTCTGGATCTCCTCGAACAAACACGCCTCAGTATCGCAAAATCCCGCCGACTAGCCATCCCCCAGCCATTGTTCCTCAGTCTACTCCTCGGTCATCAGCAGGACCTCCCATAAACAGGCCACTAGCTTATTACCCTCCCTCGGTGCTTCCGCAATTCCACCGTCCGCCGCACCCTCCACACTTTTCACAAAACTCAGCACAGCACCAGATACCACGTCCAGTGCCAGCGACAGGGACCCCAACCAGCCAGGCTCCTGTGCCAAGGTCGATAAATTCTTTTCCAAACGTGCAGACAAACAATCAAGAGCTGGCACAACAGCGACATATGGTTCTTGGTCAGGAGTTTATTCCTTATCCACCACCACCTCCTCCTCCTCCTCCTCCTCCCCACATGATGGAGGGATTCTCTCAGTTTGCATACCAGTCCGCGGACCCTGCTGTTGTCCGGCAGCGGATCAAGTCGCGGAACGATATTGCCAGGCCGTTGAAGCTCGCCGACGCCCTGGAGAAAAAGACGTACGACCCCAAGACGATCGCCCGCGATATCCTGATCGCCTCTGGCCGCCACCCCACCGAGGCCCCCCTCAACCACCACCTGTTCGGCCTGCGCGAGCACTTCACCCACGTCGACCACAACTCCGACCTCGACAGTTTCCGCTGGGACCTCGTCGACAATAAGGAATCACGTGAGTTTCCGCGTCGAGTCGGAGCGCACGTGCCACCCGTGACCGCCTCGCCCATCGCCGCTCCTCCCGTTGCAGCTCCCGTTTCCGCTGCGACGCGTCCGCCTCAACTTCCTGTCCCTCCGCCAGTCCGGGTACAGCAGCCGCAGCTGCAGTCGCAGTCGCAGCCGCAGTCGCAGCCCTCGCAGAAGTCGCAGTCGCAGCCGCAGGTGCAGCCTCCTGCGCCGGCTCGTCGGTCGGCTGTTGCTGTTGTTGCTCCCCCTCCCACTTCTACTACTGTTGCCCCTTCCCGTCGTCCTTCTGTTCGCGTTTCTCCTGCCTCCCCGCCCGTCCCGGTCGCCGTGGCCGTAGCTGTACCTGCGCCGTCTCCGTCTCGCTCGTCGGTGTCGCGAACGCCGTCGAAACCCAAGTCGAAACCTAGACCGACGATCGAGGTGGCCATCCCCGCCATGAAGACGCAGGGGCCTTTCAATGTGTACAAGTGCGAGTGGGGGAGCTGCCAGGCGGAGCTACACAATCTGGACACGCTGGCACAGCATGTTCTGAAGATGCATATTCCGTACACGCTGCAATGTGCGTGGAAGGGATGCACGAACACGACGCAGATGAGCGCTGCGCCGCTGTACAAGCACATGAAGGCCGACCATGCAGACAAGCTCGCCTGGAAGCTGGGAGACGGACCATCAGTGCCCCGAACTGGTGAGAATATACCAGATGAGCTCTCCACTGGATTACTGTTATAGTTTTTTTTTTTTTTTTTTCTCTTTCTATCATTCTCTCTTAGCGAGAAAGAAGATAAACCACAGTAGAATCCATTGTTAATACTCGTCTGGAAAGATTCTCTAGGACCTGAGAGCAAATCCAATTCGTCTCCCATGATGATCACCCCGGAGGCCCAGCTGGGCGAGAGCGGCGAACAGGACACGCTCGTCCTGCCGGCGAGCTACAAGTCGATCCGGGCATTCAACCGGCTGCATCACCATCACTCGCAGCAGAAGAAGGCGACGCAGATTCTCCGCGCGGTGCAGCGGATGAAGGAACGGATCGGGGTGGGATTGGACGCGGGCGGGTGCAAGCTGGCGACTCCAGTGCGCAACGCCAACGTGAGCAATGACGAGGGGGTTTTTGAGCTGGTGGATTGTGAAGCTCTAGACGAGTGACCTTGTTGCTCGGAGTCTTGCTTGCAGCGTGTACCTAATCTTATGATACCATCTGTACCGATATTTCAATAAGACCAGCTTTTATCATTGTATAATACATTGGATATCTCTTCTGTCTTCTCCCTTCTTCCCCTCTCTCCCTTTCCCCATCTCTCTTCCTTCCCCTTCTCTGTCTCTTTAGCTGCTCTTCCCCGAGGGACCGTCCGTCCCTGCATTCGCAGCAACACCCGACGGGCCAGGGCCAACCGCGCCCGTCTCCTGTTTCCGAGCCTTGCCTGCATCCTGCTCGTCCTTGTCCTTGGCGTTGACCTCGAGGAAATGGTAGAATACGACGAGCATCATGGCGCAGGAGCCGAGGAAGACGGCGAGGCGGTAGAGGTCGTCGTCGGAGATCATTGTGTGCTTGGTATTCGTGGACAAGGTACTTCAGCTGTCAATCTGTCAATCTGTCAACTGTGAGTCAACCTTTAGTCAACCAATCTATCAGAATGGACTCAATCCTACCGTGGAATGATTGTGGGCAGATCAAGACAAAGCGTGGTTGAGGGGAAAGTGACACTTGGCCGCACGTCAGGAGAAGAAGGGAAAAGACCAGGCGGAATGCGCAACTCTGGCTTCAATTTCATCAGAACAATCCCTCCTCAGTCTTTTTTCTATCGTCAACCGGTTTAACCAATTATTTATCAGACTGTTACAGTCTCTTTCTACAGACTACCACAGACTACAGTCACTACTCGTACTTATAGGCCATAGCATTCTCATCGTCGACTCCACCTCTGCCCGCTTATCGAAACCAGACCAGGGCCCCGACTGGCGCTCCTCGACGATGGCCAACTCGCCTGCGCCTGCATCCTAAAGAGCAGCTAGACCTTGGCGGGAGGTTCGATCTGTCGTATTTCGACTGGTTTTTCATGACTCCCTGTCTGGTGAGTGGTGAGGGGTTGTTGGTCCTTTAGTCGGCGGTACTAATGTCTTCGTCTTTCTGAGGAACCACCAGGCTACGATCGTCGGATCCTCATCTACTCTCATCCATAATCAAGAATCCCTACATCAAATCTCCTTCCTCTCTTCGATTCGATGGACCCTACGAAGGCGTCGGCGGTGAAACCGTCGCTGCTCGCCTGTCTCGCCTGCCGGCACAAACACCTCAAATGTGATGGCGTGACGCCCGTGTGTGGCCGCTGCGTCGTCTCGGGCTCAGAGTGCGAGTACACGCCGTCGCGCAGGGGGTACAAGGGTCCCTCGAAGAAGCGTCGTGCGAATCCCTCGTCCCCAGACGGCGGTGCAACCGAACTGTCGTTTGTCGACTACTCCTCGGCCAACTACTTTCAGTTGCAGGACTGGAGCCTGCAACCCCAGCGGCAACCCTCCCAGACAGAGATCCAGACCATGTCGCGGACATCCTCACAGCCTGTTTCGCAGACTCCTTCGCAGCCCAATTTACGGTACGTTGCAACGCCGGTGCCGTTGGATACCAGCCCGGGAGGAGCGGGGGCGCTGGAATCCCACCACCAGCAACAGCAGCAGCAGCAGCAGCAGCAGCAGCAGCAACAGCAGCAACAGCAACAGTTGGTTCGGCCTACAAGTGGCCCGTTAACGCCGGAATCTACCTCTTCCATCAGCGGCGATGGCTATCTGGTCGATCTCTACTATTCATACTTCCACCCGGCGCATCCGATCCTACCGCCCCTGCGAGTTCTGTATCGGTCGTACGTGCCTCCCTTCCTCGACCAGGTCCTCAAGTTCATCGGCACGCACTTCACGCCCGCGGCGTCCAGCGAGACATATCGCCCTACGGTGATGGCTGCCGTGATGGAGCAGGAAGCCAGCGAGGAGAAGCTGCAGGCGCTGCTGCTGTTGACCATTGTGCTGCATTCCCGCAACGAACGCAGCGAGGCGGCCGACTGTCTCGGCCAGGCGGTGGATCTCGCCTTTGATCTGGGCCTGCACCGCGAGAGCTACGCCGTCGGCGCGGGCCAGGGCGACCCGCTGCGCGAGGAGTGTCTGCGGCGCACCTGGTGGGAACTGTTTGTCGTGGAGAACATGCTGACGGCGCTGGGCCTGCGGGCGACGGCCAGCACGGCCGCCGTGCCGCCAGAGGTGGGCTTGCCCTGCGAGGAGCGCATCTACCTGGACGGCCTGGCACCGCCGACCCCCCCCACGATCGCGCAGTTTGACGAGCGCGTGTTTGCCGACGAAGAGCGCGACTTCTCCTCGTACAGCTACCGGATCGAGGCGGTGCGCATCCTGGGCCGGGTGGTGGCCATCCAGGACCTGATCGACGGGCAGCAGGACCAGGTCGAGGCCATCGACGCCCGCATCGCCAGCTGGTTCCACCACCTGCCGGAGTCCAAGGCCGAGCTGCTACGCCCGGACGGCTCCGTCGACGAGATGATGTTCCAGGCCACCATGGTCATCAACGGCGCCGCCATCTACCTGCACTTCCCGCGCTCCGACCTGCTCTCCTCGCCCGCCGTCGCGTCCGAGGTCATCTGCGGCCACCACGCCCCCTGCAGCCTGCCCGTCTTCAGCCACCACGCCCACGCCATGAAGGCCGTCAAGGCGGCCAAGGAGCTCTCCACCTTGGCCGCCATCCGCCTCCCCGTCGTCAAACATACCCCGTTCTTCATCTGCGCCCTGGTTCTCAGCTCCATCGTCCAGCTGGCCTCCTGCTCCGTGAAAGCTGGCCAGATGCCCGACCCCAGCCGTGACCGCCTCACCCTCACCATCGGCGTCTTCAAATCGCTCGGTCGCACCTGGGCCATCTCCCAGTCCATCATGCGGCAGATCAAAGCCGTCGCCCGCGATGTCATGGACCTCGGTCTGCGTCCCACCCTGGATCCCCTCGATTTCACCACCGTGTTGGATTCCAGTCGCTTCTGGCCAGATGCTCCTCTCCTGATGTGACCTTGTCACCTACAGGCCTATACCATGACATTACTATGAACTTATGACTAGATGACTGGGTTTGACAGCTATCATAATAATAAATAAATAAATCTAAGCATAGCTACTCTTCAACTCTGTAGAGTCACAGTGCCAAGAACCCCACCATTAATCGCCGACTGAATCGCCGACTGAAGATATCACATATCTATCACCCTCTGTGCATTCAACTTCATCACTCAAGACAGAAACCAGATTCCTACAAAACAAACAAGACATCTTCAGAAAATTCTTGAGACAATCAAAAACACCAGCTACAATGTGCCGCCCCACCACCTGTCCTACATGCCGTACGTTACCCACCACCCACTTACCTACAAGGTCCTCGATTTTTCTTTCCTCTTACTAACGATCCCCGTAGAGAAAACTACCTGGATGGGATGTGGCCGTCATGTTCCCTCCGTGATGGACGCGATCGATGCCTCGCAGTGGTGCGAGTGTAAACCGCAGGTTGAGAAGGAGGGGAAGATGTATCCTCCTGGGCCGAAATGATCAAGTGGAATACGATAATTATGGAGATATAATTAGGGAACTGTATTAGGATTAGGATATATTAAACAGTATTCAATACGATATGAAATCTAATGAGTGTCTAGATAGTCTAATCCCTGGAAGTACGCCATGGGTATCAAGAAGAATACAATGAGAGAGAGAGAGAGAGAGAGAGAGAGAAACAGTTACAGTCATGACTGCATCTCGTGCAAGGCGACGGCTCGTCGCGCGATGACCTCCTCGCGGCGCACGACGTTGCGCAGCGCCTCGCTGGCCTGGATCAGCCCGTCGATGCTGATCGCATGGTTGGTCATCTGGTGGTTGATGTACGTGTACAGGGCGGCGGGAGTCGAACAGCTGGTCAACAGTTGCTGTTCGTTCAGCTTCAGCAGGGCCAGGGCAACCTGGAAGAGGAAGATGCTGCCGCCGCTGCCGGATGCATCGGTGGTAGCAGCAACAGTAGCGGTAGCGGTAGGGGTAGGGGTAGCGGGAGTATTGGTAGTAGTGGGAGCCGGAGTAGAAGTAGTAGTAGTAGTAGTAGTAGTAGTAGTAGTAGCAGGAGCAGGAGCAGCAGTAGTAGTGGTACTGGCAGAATCCGCGACTGTGCTGGCATTCAAACAGAAGACAACATCCCAGACACGATACAAAGCCTCGGCCGAAAGACAGTCGGTGAAGACGGACAAGAACCACTGGAAGGTCAGGGCCTCGAGCTCGATGCCCAGCGAGTCCAGATGAGCAGACAGCCGCGGCAGCACCTGGGCGATGTACTGGCGTAGGACGACCTGGTCGGCGCGCGAAGCCAGCAGGCCGTGGTCGTAGTAGTGCTGCGGCAGGATGACCTCGATCATGGAAGCCAGCAGCCAGAAGGCGTCCTCGGCCGTCGGGGTGATGAGCAGCAGCGAGGCGGCGATCAGGTTCATCCCCTGGCAGTAGCCTACTTCCGGGTTCCGCCGCGAATACGCCAGCAGCACCTCCTGCAGCTTCGCCACCCCGGGCCCCTTGCGGAAGAAGACGTTGTCCGTCAGCGTGCGGTAGATGTCCATATCGATCTGCGCCCGTACCGACCCGTCCGGTTCGGCGCCCGTCTCCCCACGCACCAGCTCTTCATAGTACCCGGGGATTCGCATCGCAGACGCCCCGCTGCACTCGGACCAGATCTTCGCTCGCAGTGCGACGGGGATTCCTCCCAGCACAAGCATCCGGAACTCCCGCCACTTGGCTCGCCCGACCTTGCCCTTGTTCCCCAGTCCCGAGATGCCCACCATCTCCCCGTCCGCCAGGGAAACCTCGGGCATATCGATCGACCTCGGCAACGGCCGGTCTGAGGCCGCCGCGGCTGCCGCCGCCGCTTCGCCTTCCTTGCGTCGCTCTGCACGCACCTTGCGCAGGAACTCGTTCCATCGCACCGTGCGCTCTCGTTGCAGGGCATCATGCAGTTCCGTCAGCTGCTCTAGCAACAGCCTCACCGGTTCCTGTTCACTTGAATTTGTGCTAAATATCGTAGTGGAGGTGGGGGCAATCGTGGCAGGCTCCTCACTGGAGATCCCTGCAAATTCGGGGTTATCCGCGACAACTGTCGATGTTGATGCTGGGGGAGGGCCTGTCGGGTTGACAGAGACGGTGCCGCCCTTGTCGACCGCTACTCCCAACACACCACGAGGCGTACCCCCTTCCCCGGAGGTGGTAAGAGAGACAATTGGCCCGGCAGAGGGCGTATGGGACAGCAGCTCGGTCGCCCGGGTGGAGATTTTGAGGTAATCTTGCCAGCGCTTGGGCGGGGCGGTATTGTTATCCGGGTCGTCGGTGTTGGACGTCCCAACCGCAACAACCGTTGTGATGGGCATCTTGAGGTTCAGATCGTCTTCGTCACCATCGGGTGTTTCGCCTCGAAAGGTGCTGAGCGTCTCCGCGACGCTCAGCCGGTGGGCGGGGGTGCGGTTGACCGCCGCTTCACGCTGTCTGCGTTTGCGCCGCTGGTCATAGATGAAGCCGAAGCGGTCCGTCAGCAACTCGCCGAATTGGTGGACGCTGCTGTTGTAAACGTTTAATGTGGGCGGCCGCGACTCCATCGGCAGGATAGCGTCCATTTCGACGGGCCCCAGGTTCGTCGGGTTCTTGGGGACGGTCTCGGTGCCGCCACTGCCCGGTTGAGAAACTGACGAGGCAGTGACTCGGCGATTTCCAGGTGTGTTGCCTCGCGTGGCCGCGCCGCTGCTGACAGCTGCCGGACCGCCGGATGTGGGCTTGCTATGGATGCTGGCACTGCTGTTGATCCGTTTCAGCGCTGCGATGGCGGACAGACCGCTCTTGGAATTGGCAGACAGCGTAGCCGGCTTGTTAGTAGTAGTATTGGTATTGGAGTCGCCGTTTTGCCCCGTAGACGAGGCTCGGCTGCGAATGGTGTCATCCTTGCTGCCCTGCTGGGAGGACGAGGAGCCGCCGGCAAACAGCTTCACTGTCCACGAGGTGAAGGATCTCGAAGACTTGCGCGAATGGATGCTGGCGTCGTCGCCATTCGTGGCTTTGGCCAGCCGTTCCTTGGCGGCATCGCCTGCCGTGAGGCCGTCCTGGGGCGGCGGCTGGAACAGCTGGTCGTCGAGCGCTTTACGGCGGTTGCCCGACTGTCGAGAATAGCGCTGGTATTCATCCGCATCTCCCGCATCGCTCTTCACACTGCTGGCGCGGCTGGTCTTGCGGCTGGCTGAAACGCTGCCGAAGAGGTAATCCCCCCACCCGCGGATGGAACCCTGGCGTTTCGCACGGGAATCGACACTCGAGGTACGCGACCGGGGATCGCCGTCGACCAGCCGCTGCTGTGCCCGGATCGTCGCCTGCTGCGGGTCCGAGTCGTCGTATATCATCTGCGAGCCAGCCGAGCCCACCTCGTCCGCCATCGCCTGCTTCATGAGGCCATTGATGCCGCTGTGCCGATGATGTCGATCCGGTATTCCTTCCGACGCATCCCCATGTTCACCTGCAGAGGATTTGTTCGAGTGGTCGGTGCGGGAATTCTCGAGCGCGTACAGCCGTCGTTCAATGTCCTGATGCGAGACCGCCACCTCGCGCAGCATCCGTTTCAGCTCCCGCTCCCTTGCATCCGCCCGCTGCCGCAGGGCAGAGATCTCAGCGTCCCGCAGGGCCAGATCACGGGCAAACTGTCTCACCAGCTTGACGGGGCCCGTCGAGGCAAGCAGCCGCTGGATGTGCGCGTCGTCGGCCAGATGCAGGGCACCGGGCATATCACGCGGGGTCACCACATCGTCGAACAGGGCCGCTCGCCCAGACGCCGATGGCCGGGTGGTTGTCAGCCGGGCCAGAGTGACCCGTCGGCCACGGGCAACCTCGCTGCCGCTGTCTTCGGCGGTAGAGGTGGAGGAGGTGCCTCCGGCACCTCCTCCTCCTACCACGGCCCCGGCCACCCCCGCTGCAACGGAGGTGTTATCATCGCCGTCGTCTTCCTCCTCGAGCAAAGCGTTAGCCAACGCGCTGTTCAACGCGGGCTGGCCGAAAAAGCCCTCGGGAGAGCGGTCGGGAGACAGGGAAGGGAAAGAGGTGAGGTCGGTCGTGGTTGCGTTGGAGGAGGCGGAATGGCGTTTCTGCGGCCGTGGTTTAGTTCTGTGGGCGCTGCGGCGGGAGGAGGAGGACGTCTGCGATGAAGACCGACGCTGTGGAGGAAGATCCAACTCCGCCATGGCTCGTCAAGAGGTGATCGGCGGCGGATAACATGAGAGCAGGCGGTCGAGGTTCAAATTTCCAACAGGGCCGGGGGAGGGAAGGAGGCGTAGAAGAACTGGAGAGAAAGTGCAGGAAGGCCGGGCTGGGTACAAGCGGGAGCCTGGTCACAGGGAGGCCAGGAATGCCTGCAGAGTCGACGAAACAAGGGAACAAACAAGGGACAAGAGCCTGGCCAGGGCAAAACAGGAAGTTATTCAGAGCCGGTGGGGAAGGATGACGAGGGTCATGTGATGCTGTCTGACTAAGGAATTAGTCACTGTTGTGATCTAACCTGCTCCGGTTAGTGCGTGTCGCCTTACATAAGCCATCTTTACCTCGGCTCTCCGCATCACGTGAGCGGGCGGAGAGCCGAGCCTGGCTTATAGTTCCTTCCTCTTCCTCCTCCTCCTCCTCCTCCTCCTCTTCTCTCGTAAAGATTCGACTCTATTCAGCATGTCTCGCATTGCCAAGCAGCGTCTGCAAGCGCTCAGTCAGCAGCTGGTCGAGGGGATCCCCGACGCAGGAAGCTTCGAGGATATCCCTCGCATCCGCAAGGTTGCGCCTGATACGGGGGGGGAGTAAGTCACCAAGACAGTAAGAATGAATATAGCGAGGCTAATGAATAGTCGTGTCAAGGAGAAGGTCATCATCGTAACAGGTAATCAACAAGACTGTTCTCGTGGTTGGTTGGTATAAAAAAAAAATGTGATACATAAGATATATATAGGAGCCAACTCGCCCACTGGAATCGGCCGTGCAACAGCACACCAGTTCGCCCGGAACGGCGCCCGGGCAATCTACCTCTGCGACTTTGCAGACAGCCATCTGGCGACACACAAGCGAGAGCTGGCCTCTCTGTACCCGGACGTGGCGGTACATCTGCGCACGTTCGACGCGGCGGACGAAGCCGCCGTGAAGAGCGTGGTGGACGATGCCGTGCGCGAGTACGGGCGTCTGGATGTCTTCTTCGCCAACGCGGGCGTGGTGGGCCACAGCTCGAAGCTGGTGACGGAGTTGACCGCCGACGAGTTCGCCCGCACGTTACGCACCAACACGGTCTCGGTGTTTCTGGCTGTCAAGTACGCCGTGCCCGCGATGAAGCGCACGGATCCGGCCTCGAAACCGTATCCCGGCGGGTCGATCGTGCTGACGGCTTCCGTCGCCGGGCTGCGCTCCAACGCCGGCTCGACGGATTACTCGGCGTCCAAGGCCGGGGTGGTCTCTGTCGCACAGACGGCCGCCTTCCAGCTGGCCGGGACGGGCATCCGCGTCAACGCCGTGTGTCCGGGCCTGGTCGAGACGGGCATGACGCAGCTCATGTACGACACGGCGCGGCAGCGCGGGTCGGAGGGCAAGATCGGCCAGCTCAATCCCTTACGCAGGGGCGCCGTTGCCGATGAGATCGCTAGGGTCGTCCTCTTCCTGGCTAGCGAGGAGAGCAGCTACGTCAATGGCCAGGCCTGGGCTGTCTGTGGGGGGTTGAGTGCTGGGCATCCTGTAGTTCCAGGGAAGTTGGCTTGAGAAAAGTAAATACTATAAGTACTACTGTAAAGCTACAGTAATGCTACAAGACAAGTACCAAGTACTGCATGTGCAGAGTAGATCATATCTACATGACCGAGGCCAGCGAGTATAGATAGACAAAGGAAAACAGCAGAGAGAGAATCGATCATGATCCAGAAAAGGGGGGGGGGGGGGGGAAAGCCAGAGATCAATGACCATAAACCAAGGGAGCATGACGCTCCGATGCCCAGACCGAAGCGAACCAAAAAAAAGAAAAAAAAATAGATATCAAGGGCCTTTCGAGGCTGAAGAAAAAAAAAGAAAGGGGTCCACCGTTGAAAATTATAAAAAGGAAAAAGAAAACCCCTTAAACACCCGGTGTGAATGAAGGGAAGATAGATCCATCTTCCAGAATCGAAACAAAGAGTAGATTCGAATAATAAAAGAAATAAAAAAAAAAATAAAAAATAAGAGGTAGTTAAGAGGGAAAGAGATGGAAAACAGATAAGAAAGAGACCAACAAGACTTTCGATCACGGATCGTCAAGGTCATTTTCGCCCCCATGGGAGAGAGCGTATACAGGGCAACGCCTATGCCACCAGGCGAGCCGTACCGGGGCGGATGATATCGTCACTCGCCTGCTTGGAGAGGGTTCCCGACTGGGTCTGGTCGTCGAGGCCGTCCGCGTCGGCGCCGTCCAGGGGCTCGTCGTCATCCTCGACGATCCGCATGGGGATCTCCCCCGGGCCGTACTGCTGGGAAGATCGTTCCTGGAAGGTCGAGCTGCTGATCATCGACATGGACGTGCTGGATCGGTTGTGCACCAGGTCCGGGGTCGGCGGGATGCTCGAGTGCCGCGGGTCCGGGTGGAGAGACGAGTGATCGTAGTCGCCGGGCTCGCTGCTGCCGCCCTTGCGCTCATCGACGTCGAGGGTGAGGGTGTCGGTGGAAGAAGTGGCGGCATGAGCAGCATGAGCGGCGGCGGCAGCCTCCTCTTCATCCTCGGCGTCCTGGGCCAGGTGCAGCCCTTCGACCGCGGCGGCGCATTGCTCGCTGATACTGCGGATGATATCGGCGATGGCGTCGGTCTTGTCGCGCAGGTATCGATCTGCAACATCAGTGATGCTGAGCCGAGCGAGACGCTGTTGCGCTTTACCGATATTCAACAGATGGTTCTCCATCTCCGGGGTCATGTCATTGACCAGCCCACTTGTCCGTCGCTTGACCTCGATGGCCGACCGGGTGGTCTCCGCGGGTGACACGGAACGCGGGGTCAGCTGTTGGGTATGCTGGTGCTGGTGCTGCTGGTGCTGCTGGTGCTGCTGCTGGAGGTTCTGCTGAAGGTTCTGCTGAAGGTGCTGCTGCTCGTCGCCGGCCACCGACGAGGCCAGACGGTCCTCGGAGGCGTCGTCAAAGCCCTGCTCGATCAGATCGGACAGTTCCGAGGTGCTGCTGATGGAGCGCACCAGGTGCTCCATATGGTGGGTCTGACCGTTGATGAGGCTGCGCAGGTGCAGGACGACGCGCTGGGCCTCGTCGCGCTGGCGCATCAGGGTGGCGTTGGTGTGCTGCAGAGCGGACATCTCCTTCTGGTTGCGCTTCCGCTCGCGCTCCAGCTCCTCGGCGATCTCCTGCTGCAGGACCAGGGCTTCCAAGGCGTCATCGCGCTGCTTCTCCGTCCCGGACAGGCGCAGCGTCAGTCGGGCGACGTCATCCTTCTGCTGGTCGATCAGACCCGCCAGCCGACGGTTCTCGCGCTTGTGCGTCTCGATCTTGACCTTGAGGTCTGTGGTCTCTTTGGTGAGTTGTTCGGCAAACGATTGGAATTTGAGGAACTATTCTATTAGCTTTGAAAAAAAAAAAAAAAAAAAAAAAAAAAAAAAAAAATAGAGAAGGGAAAAAAAAATACCTGTTGCTTCCAGGTTTCGAGTTCCTCGACCAAAAAGTTGTTGCGCTTGGTGACCTTGGAGAGCTCGGTATCCATGCGACCCTTGAGGTTGATAAAGTCCTGCCAGGCCTCGAGGGCATCGCGCGAGTACTGGTTGCGCTCGCGGACGATCTCGTTGAGGTGACGCATGGAGACCTTGGTCATGAGGGGCTTCTTGACGGAGCCGCCGAAGATGGCCTTCATGCCGGTGTTGCGGCCGAGTTTCTCGCAGACGTGGTCCATGACGGCCATGACGGAGTCCTGGTTCCACCAGGCGGGGTCGTCGATGCGGTCGACCTCGCCGCGCATGACGATGATCTGGCCGGCGGGGATGAGCTTGCCGCCGGCGTAGGCGGAGCGCAGGTGGGTGGGGACGCCCGAGGGCGAGACATCGCCGTTGAGGGCCTGGGTGAGGCGGGTGATGAACTTGGTGCGCTGGCCGGCGGAGAGGACGTCCGGGGGGCTGGCGGTGAGGACGAAGTTGCGGTCGAGGTCGACGACGAGGGCGTCGGCGGGGGCGGTGAAGAGGGAGCGGCACTCGGCGGTGACGCCGAGGATGTAGGGGCCAGGTTCCTGGACGAGTTCCTTGATGTGGCGGGCGTGGACGACGGGGACGTAGAGGCCGCTCCACTCGTAGACGCGGACGGCGTAGCGGATGGTCTCGGCGGCGACGGTGAGCATGGCCGGGTAGTGGCTGACGAAGATGATGCGGCGGGTGGGGGAGACGGCGGCCTCGATGACGCCGACGATGTTGGGGATGGAGAGGCAGGTGAAGAGGGGCCAGAGGGCGAAGTTCTGGAAGCCGGTCGGGGAGGAGGGGAACTGGTAGCAGAGGGCGTAGTCCTTCATGTCGATGCGGACCAGGTCGTTGAGGCGCGGGGCGGGAAAGCTGAGGATGCGGGAGACCTCCTCGGCGTGGAAGAGGTTGGTGGCCTTGTTCCAGTGAATCCACATGCCTCGCAGGTAGTCGCCGAGCAGGTCGTAGAGCGGGTAGCGGGAGAGGAAGCTGAGGCAGTAGGGGATCCAGTAGGTCTCGTCGGGGTTGTCGTAGAAGTCGGGCTCGGTCTTCTTGCGCAACTCGCGGATGGTCTCGGCGCGTTTCTCGTCGGCGCGCGACCAGACGCGCAGGGCGATGCCGTACAGGGTGTGCGATGAGTCCTGCTGCAGGACAAAGGCGTGGTGGGCGCAGTGTGGTTGGGTCTTGCCGGTGCAAATCTCGACGTCATGAGGGAAGCAGGCCTACAGTAATGGTCAACGGTCAACAATGAACAATTGCAAATATAAGATCCGGTAGAACCCACCCGCATGGCGGCGTGCAGAGCACGCGCAATCTCATTGTCCTGCTCGAGACGCGGGCTGCTGCCGAGGATTTCGGGCAGCCAGAACTGGCCGACGGCGCCCTTCATGTGGCCGATCTTGCCCTGGGCGGGCGGCGGAGCTTTCACCCATTGCGAGGGCTCACGGCCGACACCACAGACCATGTAGGCGTGCGTCAGGGTCTTGGGGGTGCGTTGGGCAGGCTTGATGCTCAGGGTGGAGGGAATCGGCTGGGTGATGCGCGAGTGCAGCGACGAGGTGCGGCTGGGCACCACCAGCGAGTTCTCGCCATCGCCACGAGTCACCGGGCGGTCGCGTGTCGACGGCCGATTGAAGGAAGAGTGATCTCTCAACGAGGGGCCCATTGTGGTTGTGTGGTGGTGGTGGTGGTGGTGGTGTTTTTGTTTGGTGTATTTTGGTCAACACGGTTGACAGAACTGGCGTCATTAGCATCTATTCATCTGTTCTCTTGTTTTCTTTCTTTCTTTTCTTTTCTCTTTCCTCTTTCTTCCTCTAGACAATAAATTATTGGAGACGTACTGCAAGGCTACGGGACTGGGTCCGGGGGAATAATAGGGGTTCGGCGAGAACGAGCTGGATCAGAGCGAAGGTGGCCTGCAGGCAGGACAGCACATCTGTCGACTAAGCCATACAGCAGGAAAGAATTGCTGAAGAAAAAAACCAAAAGAGCGATGAGAGTGGATGACCGAGAGGAGGGAGCGTGGAGGGGAGGAGGAGAGAGAGAGAGAGAGAGAGAGAGAGAGAGAGAGAGAGAGGGAGAAGGTGAGAAGGGAGAAGGGAGAAGGGAGAGTTTTGGACGGAGGAGCCCTTGGCGGGTCTAAGATCCAGCGTTGATGGACTGAATTAATATTTAGTATTAGAAGACTGTGAGTATTTTATATTTATATTCTATATTCTATATTCTATATTTATTATATTATTGAGGGTCTCTTTATTTAGTATTAGTTATGATATGGGATGGTAGTATCTTGTCTATCCTCCGATTCGAGTATTGTTGGACACCCTCTATGCCCCGGCCTAGTAATTACAGTGAGTTCATCCATCGCTACTGTCATAGAGTAGAATTCCGATATACGAAGATTGATTATGATAATTATAATAATTCATGAAGACAACTACATACCTAGGTACTCTATATACTCTATAATATAAAGCTTTGATCAATCCCAACTCCATAGTCAACCGTGGTTCACCAACCTTGCATCCAACCCTTACTACAACTACCACTTATTATTGCAGTAACTATTACAAGAGCTTGCAGTAATACTAGAGCTTGCAGTAATACTACATAGCTAGAGTAGATTCAGGATATTACCCCTGAACGATCCTGCGCTCCAGTGTTTCATCTTTCTCCACTTGTCTATAGTAGGTGGTAATATCTCTTACCCAACCAGCCGGACGGAGTAGTACAGAGATAATATCCTAGAACTTATTCTAGAACCAACGGCATACTCCGTAGAAATAAAAAAAGGCTATTGAAAGACATACACCATCCCCGCCCGGTCCACGCTGACCGTCATCCCGTACGGCCATCGCAGAACCGCCACGTCCTGGATCGAGTCCAGGTGGCTGCGGAGCAGTTGCTGCTGCTGCAGGCTGATCACCGTGCTGCGAGGCGGCCGCCCGCGCGCCCCCTTGGACCCTCCAGGCCCCTTGCTGGTGCTGCTGGTGCTGCTGGTGCTGCTGGTGCTGCTGGTCGTGCTGGTCGTGGATCCCGGCAGGTGCTCGCTGGTAATCACCAACTGTGGGATCGGCTGGATCACCTCGTACCGAACCAGACCGGTATTATTAATGGGGGGGTTGCGAGTAGAAGTACCAGTGGAAGTACCGGTAGAAGTACCAGTAGAAACACCGGTATGCTCGCTGCTGTCCAGCCCGCTCACCACCGTCGATTGCTCCGGTCGTGCGAGATCCCAGAACCGGATGCGTCGGTCGCTGCCCGCCGACACGATAAACCCGCTCTTTGGACTGTCTCGGCTCTCGTCCGTCGTGTCGAAACCCACGGCGAACGCGCAGATGCCCACTCGATCGGCGCTGCTAGTAGTAGTAGTAGTAGTAGTAGTAGTAGTAGTAGTAGTAGTAGTAGTAGCAGCAGTAGCAGTAGTAGCAGGAGTAGTCATTCCCGCCTCCGAAGCGAATCGGTTCAGCATCCCTTCCGGTCGGTCGCCATCCACATGCCACGCCTGGTAGACTTTCCAGTTGGCATGAACCAGCGCCGGATTGGTATGACCGTGATGATTCGCTCCGTTGGTGTTGGTCGTGGAAGTAAGATTCCCCCCCGGAGAGGCCGCACGATACACCTCCCGACACTGCACCTTTTCAATATCCCAGACGAGGATCTCGTTGCCGTGCGGGCCACTGCCCGCCACACAGATCCAACGCCCACGTCCCTTGGTCGGATGAACCTGCAGGCGATGAATAGCCCCGGCCCCGGGCAGCCCCCACGCCTTGAGCCGCACGCCGAACCGTAGATCCCACAGGTCGAGGATGCCGTGCGTCGTGCCCAGCACCAGCCAGGTGTGCTTGCGGTCGCAGCAGAAGCTCGTCGGCGTCCCGTGGTGTACGGGGTTCTGCAGCGTGTACACCACCCGCATGCTCTTCAGGTCCAGCGCCACCACCCGGCACATGTTGGTCGCGATCAGCAGCGTCGATTGCGCCTCGCTGCGGAAATGCTCCATCCAGATCGCATACTCGACCACACCACTCCCGTCGTCCGCACCGAGCCGCCCCAGCTGGTACTCGCGCACCACCTGCAGCTTGCCGTACCGCACCGTGTCCAGCGTCGCCTGGTAGTCCACCTTCACCGCGTGGATGCTGCCGTCCGTCGCCCCGCTGACAAACGTGTACGTGTTCTCCACAAACGTCAACGCCTTCACCTTCGCCCCCGCCGCGTGTCGGTGCGTCTGCCGCGATCGCGGCGTCAGGTTCTTCTCCAGCCGCGTCGTGTCCCACACCTTGACCGTCCCGTCGTCCGACCCCGTCACAAAGAACGAGTGGTCCGGCGCCGCAACCACCCGGTTGATCGGCCCGCTGTGCTCCCCAAACATCGTCACCAGATTTCCCTCGGGTTTCCATGGCTTGCGCGCTACATCGCCCGCCGGCGCGTTCGCTCGCTTCATCGGTTTGCGCGTGTCCACCTCCTTGACGAACGGGCCCAGCTCTAACAGGTCCGTCGGGAAGTTCTCCGCAAACACAGAGTCCAGTAACCGCAGGATGACAGGGTCGTTGCCCCCGTAAGAATGGCTGGCGTGGTACCCTCGTGGTTTGCCGGGGTCCGACACAGACGTCGCCGTTGTTGTCCTCTTTTCTGTCCGTGCCGGCGACGGAGGAGCCATGTCTCTCTGCGAGGGAACGTCTACTTTGCCAAACGCATTGGCCGAGCTCATGCTCGTCTCGGCAAACGCCTTGGAGGAATCCTTGCGGTTCAACAGAGTCATGGCGCTGGCCTTCTTCTGCATTCCCGCAGCCACCATGTTCTTCGCAACAACACTCTCCGCGTCCGTCGTGGTCGACGAGCTGTCCGGCCCGGGGCTGTGGCGGAGTCCGGATCCCCGCCGCTCATGGTTCAAGCCGTATGGCGACAGTGGGCGAGAGTCCGGAGCGGCGGGCGACGACGACGACGACGGCGACGACGACGCCCGACGCGAAGAGACGGACGAGGAGAGCTCGGTACGGATCGCGTCGAGCGCGGTCGGGCGGATTCCCATTTCCTTCTGTAGCTGGCTGCGGGATCGTACGTGTTTCCGACGGTTGGTGGCGTTCGCGTTGTTCGCGTTGTTCGCGTTCTCAATCGTCGTGGATGCGTCCAGCAGGGCGTCGGCAATCGTGCGTGGTCGATGTTCCCCGGCTGTAGTAATACCGCCCTCGGAAATGCCACCCAGAGAGCCTCGACGCTGCTTGGCCGTCTGGTTCTTGTCGAAAAACACCGTCTGCGGGCTGACGCCATATTGCGTCAAGGAGATGACGTTGTTCAGGGACGACAGGGCCCCAGCCTCCATTTCATTGACCTGCCGCAACGAGACCCTCCAGATATACTCTCGCAGAGCGAGCAGCTTGTATTCATCCTCCGGGCCCAGCCCCAGATTTCGGAGCCGAGACAGCCACTGCTCGTCTTCTTCATTCTTCGGATGTGCACTCAGCGTGAATCCGTACCCTCTCTGGCCTCCACGGAGGGAGAAGTGGCTGTCTGCACCGCCAAGATTGAAGATTCCGTCCCGGCTGGTCGACTTCCAAAAGATGCCCTTTTCAACCTTGGAGGCCCAAACGAGGGCCAGTTCGTACACATTCCGTGCCAAAGGTCGCTTGAGAACGTCGAGGATGTCTGCTTCGGTAAAATCCATGATGTTCGCCTTCATGAAGGGTTGCAGCAGTGGTGCCAAGATCGAGTACTTGTCCGCGATGGAGAGGAACTTGGCCGAGCTGACAATGAGATGGACAGCGGCCTCTCTGATCCAGATGCTGGGATGGACCAAGAACCGCGCCGTAATGTAGAGCAAGTCCCATGTTGTTGACCGTTGAAAGAGCCCAAGATCAGCCATCGATGCCAGTGAGCGGATGACTCGTTCAACGACAAACTCCTCCGGTTCCGTCATCGACTGGATCATCAGTGGTAGAATGTATAGCTCCAAACTGGTGCTCCCCACATAGGAAGCAACTCCGATCACCGCTTCGAAAAAGGCGCACTTGAGAATCCAGTCTCGGTCATTGAGATATGTGTTCAAGTGGCTGAGGATGACTTCGTTGGTCTTGGAGTTGCCGAAAAACACACAGAGGCGCGAAACCGATCCGAGAAAGGCACGACGCACCGAGGCATCGCTGTCGGTTAACAGAGCTTTGGTATGGATTTCAAAGTACTCCAGTAGATCAGACCGGGCCACGTCATACAGATTGTGGTAAGTAGCGTCTTCGGTCCATCCCGGTTCGGTACCTACGGGAATCAACGAAGTCAGACGCGTGTCCGAGCGCAGAGCCTGTATCATGTCCAGGAACCGGAGAGAGGATTGGGCCAGAGACGCAACACTGGATGCATATGCGGCTCGGACCATAGGACTTGGGCTAGCGTTTGAGCTTGAGATGAAAGGTTGGAGACGAGAAAAGATATATTCGGGGAAAAGATAGGCATTTACAGGAGAAACCACCTGGACCAGTTCTAGCAGCTGGGCTAGCGTTCGGATAGCCGCGATGCGAACGGCGTCTGAGCGGTCGTTCAACAACAGCATGATGTAGGGGAGGATTCGGTCCAATTTGGCCTCATCCGAAAGCCGTTCTGCAAACGCAAGCAAAATGTCGCAGGCTTTGATTCGGGCCGACGCCTTGCTCGTATTCCGCAGACTCGATACAACAAGGGTCAAGAAGACTAGAGCGCCATCGTCCGCCTGGCTAAGTGCCCGTGAGGTTTGATGGCCGTAACTGGGCAAATCGAGTTGAACGGGAGTGGAGGAGCCGGTGAGTCGGGACGTAGAGAGATTGGAGCCGTCCTGCGGGGGCTGAACAGTGGCGCCCAGAAAATAGGCAACCTTGTCGAAGTCGAGATAGATGCGCTCGATCCGGTCATCTGCTTCGCCTCGAGCGGCAGATTCCAAGTCGACTCGTCCCCTGCCTGACGTGGGATCCGTCATCAGCGACATGTACTGGTGAAGAAAGCTGTAGAAGTATTCTGGGAAGGCTTTGTTCTTCCAGAAATTGAGATATTCTTCCGCCGAATACCTCGACTCCGGGTCCAGCTGGATCATGTGAAGGATGAGCTCTCGGATCTCCGGGTCCTCAACTTTGGCCAATTGGTTATGCTCCGGACTGTATTCGCCCTTGCGATACTTGTACATTTGGCTGAGCGTGAAAATCGGAGACTCGAGGAAGAGCTCGGCGATGACACATCCGACACTGAAGATGTCCATCGCCCAGTTGACGTTTCGGCTCCCTGCCTCCTCCCCTGCCTCGAGGAACCGCTCCGGGGCGAGATAACATGTCCGTCTCCCGGACGTATCAAAGTAGAACGAAAAGTCGGCCGGGTTATCCTCCGGTAGGAAGGTCGGCTTGAAGGAGGATGAGAAATCCGACAGATACAACCAGTTCCACGAGGTGACTAGGACATTTTCCGTCTTGATATCGCCATGGAAGACATCTACAGCGTGGCAGTCCCGAACCGCACACAGCAGCTGGAACGCAATCCATTTCTTCTCGATATCTTCCAGAAACGGCCGCGTGCTAGACAGATGTGAGATTAGTTCTCCTAAATAACAATGAAAGGGCAGTGGTTCAAATCAAAGGCCCTACCTCATCCGATCGTAAAGCGAGCTATGCATATATTGCCGAACCAGATACCCACTGGTGCTGGTCTCCAAGATCCGAGCATATCCCAGCGCATTCGGCACGTCTGCCAGTAACTTGCGTTCCCCTGTAGCCAGCGGTCAGTCCTCGTTCTGTCCTTCTCGGAAGCCCCCTCAACACCACTCGGAAGCAAGCAAGCACAAAACGTACGAACGATCGCCCTGACGTACGGCTCCAACTCCATGCTCGGATACGGCTTCATGATCACCTTGACGAACACCAGCCCATTCTGCTGCCGGGCACGGATACTCTTCATGAAACGCCCGCCGCCCATCGACTTCTCATACACCAGATCCGATAACTCGGGCACGTCGATCCCCGCGGACCCTGCGGACAGGGTCGTGAGCGAGTAGCCTTGTCCCATCGTGTCGGGACGCCTTCATCGCACAGGCAAACGCACCGATTCCCCAGTCTTTCACGCCGGTCGAGCCCGTCCCAGGCGTTTGCAACTTGCTTGGTGAGAGGTCAAGTCCGGCGGTCAGGTGTAGCCTGTAGCCTGTAGCCGGTGATGACGATGTCAGGTGATATGATTAGTTATCATTGAGTCAGGTGATGTCAGGTGATACACCGATAGATACTAAGATAGCACTGAAGATCACGTGTAAATATCCTTAGTCATCAATCACGTGGCGGTTATCGTGGTTATCTAAGCAGCAAAAGCGGTGAGCGGGCTAGTTTCCCGACTAGTTCTCTTAGTCCTCTGGGATCGTGCACGGCGACGCTGGCAGCAGCGAGTCGCTGTTCGCCACAGGGAGACGGCGGAGTGGAGCCTTCAGGGGGAGGCGGATTAGAAATGAGTGCGTGTCATGGCCTGGCTCTGACTGTTCGTCTGGCTCGAGTTGTTTGTTTGTCTTGCCGCCCCTCAGTCGCCGGCGGAGAGTCGTGGGTAAACAGCCGTCCGTTCTACTGCGGTGTGCGGAGATTACGACGCTGACTGACTGTTAGGAAGATCTTGTACCGACGGCCGGTCTGACTTGAGCGAATTTGAGCTGTGTTTGCTGCGACCAATAGCTGAGGCTGTCACGGAAAGCTTGGCGAGATGACATCCATGGAAATGGAGACGCCGGTGCAGTCGCTTCTATGCCTGGATGGCGAGCGGGTGGAAGTCCCGATTATTGACGACGACGAGCCTTTGGGGGATGTGGTTCGAAAGTTGACCAAGTAATTTTACCATCTACACACCCCTAACGTGGAACTATCTAACCGTGTGACTTGCCAGCTACTTGACCTCGGCGATCCCCGATGTGGCGTACACGTTTGAGCAGATGAGGTCCGCACCCGTGGGGGGTCACTACCTGAGATCGTTGATTGCTTCGCTCTCTGAGAACTCTCACAACCCGTTAATCGTGTCAGCTCTGATGTATGTGTTTCTCTGACACTCCCGGCTGGGTGCCCGGAGGCTACAGAAAGAGGACAGGCAGCTGACTTTCGTGACAGGGTTGTTCGATGGCAATTCAACAATGTCGAAGATGATGACTGGGGATTGAACGACAGTCGAGCACAGGCGTGTGAGTATGTGGCTTGGCAGTTTCTGTGCCACTTGACTCGCCGCGAGATTATCGATTTCTTGCTTCAAGAACTTCCATCGCCCAGACACAACTCCATTAGCATGGCAGAAATGGAGAGAGGGCTGTCTGGCTTGTCGGTTCCGGCGGCGGAGTCGAGTGCACACGTGGAAGGGGAGCGAACCCCTCTCTTACGAAGAGCCTCTTCGTCCCTCCAGTATCTGTTTGGCTCCAGGAAGACTGTCGACAGTCCCCAGGGCACGGAGGGGAGTCTGACAAAGACGGACGAGAGTGTTAGCGACCCGTACTCCTTTTTTCGGGGCCTCAATGCTCTTGAGATCGCAACTATCGCGCATGCCAAAAAGTTTCTCGCCCAGAAGGTTGTCCAGCGGGTTATCAACGATATCTGGAATGGCGAGATTGTGTTCTGGGACTCGCTCAGCGTGCACTCTCGGAAACGGCCACACGTCTTCAACAAAAGGTGAGCATGCTGTGGACCTGTTCTAGGCTGAACCGGAAGACTAAAATCCGTAGAACTGCAGACCCATATTCCCGCCTAAGGGTTCCCATCTACCGCAAGGCATTCGAGGCGGCTTTCTTCATTTCCTTCCTCCTCCTGTACTACGCCGTCCTTGTGGAACGCAAATTCACGGGCATAGGCATATTCGAAACCCTGATGTACATCTGGATTGCCGCTTTTGCGTACGATGAATTTGGGGGTATGACCGATGCAGGGATCGCATTCTATCAGATGGACTTCTGGAGCGTCTGGAATCTGGGCATTATTGGCACCGGCATGGCTTTTGTCATTACAAGTGAGTCGTTTTATTCCTTCCATCCTGATCTGAATCTGCCTTGGAGAAGGAATTCAGCTCGACAAGCCTCAGCTCTGCTGTGCACAGCGATCATCCTGTCATCCACAACCCATATTCCATGTAGCAAGCTGACTCTCTGTACCTCAGGAGCTATTGGGCTGGCTAGGGATAGCGACCCCATCACCGATCTGTCATTTGACATTCTGTCCCTGGAAGCTTTGTTCCTTGTCCCTCGGCAAGTTTCTCTTCCCCTGCAAACCTTAAAATCGCCGTAACGGCCCTATAGAGGATCGAAGCTGACTCGAAGTGGCAAGGGTAGGATCTGCTCGCTAGTCAGCCTCAATGAATATTTCGGTAGTCTGGTATATTGGACCCGGCGGATTTGCCGCGACGCCTGGTTTTGGGGATAGAGGGCTGACAATGTGCCACAGATACCAGTGCTAAAGGAGATGGTATGGCTTCGCCTAGTCAGGGCCTGCATCAACCCGTCTCAGCTGCTGACCCGCCCGTGCTAGACCAAGTCGTTTTTCCGGTTCCTCCCAGTTGTCGTGGTGCTATACCTAGGTGCGTTCGGCCACCTCAGCCACTTTGAGGAGCGGCTGTGAGGCTGATGATGAAACATGGGTGCCGCAGGTTTCCTGACAACCTTCACGATGCTTGCCCGTGACCGACTTTCCCTCCGCGAAATGTCCTGGATCTTGGTGAAAGTGTTCTATGGGTGAGCGGTGAACACCCCCTGGCGGAGGTCCGCTTTTTTAGACCGCATTAACGCGAGGCAGATCAGCGAACCTGGGATTTGTACGTTGCAGACGAACAACGTAAATGGCTTGAGGGAGTTCTTCACTGACGGTGGCTGAAATGATTGGCTCGCAGGACATTGCGCACGATGTGAGTTGACGCAGCGCCAAAAATCGGTTGGCTCTCGTCTCAAGTTTTTTGGCCGCGCTAATGCAATTGCTTAGATTTCCCCCATCTTTGGCTATGGATTGATGTGAGTGTTTCCAGTCCACAGCACGACTGCGCCACGGAAACCGCTCTCGCGTAGACGCATACCTGTCAGGTCACGTTCTCGCGACTTCCAGCCGGAAATACACTGGGTGGTTGCCGGCTGGGCCGGTCCGAGACCCTTGCAATTCAACGGTTTTGCGACGCCGATACCCTTTTTCTTTTCTTTTCTTACACAGTACCATGGCTAACCGAAAGACGGTGACAGGCTGGTGTTCATCTCCATGACTAATATCCTGCTGATTTCGTCGCTGATCAGTTTGATGAGCATGAGCCTCGAAGGGGTAGGCCGTCCGGTAACTATCTCTCGAAAGTCGTCTCGCTAACGGGGGAACGTTCAGGTCATGGCACATGCTCGTGACGAATACCTTTTCCAGTCAGTATCTCCTTTTTGTTTTTTTTTTGTTTTTTTTTTTTGTTTCCCTCGTTCTCTAGATGGGTATCTTTGGGACAGCCTCTCGGAACGGTGCTGACATCTGGTTCCAGACTGTCGATCTACGTGCTGGAGAGTAGTAATTCCCGCCGCTTGACGTATTTCATGCCTCCACTGGTCAGTTCGCCTCGTCCGTTGCTGGCCGCAGAGGAATCCGGTCTGCCTAACTGACGGGTGCGACGCGATAGAACCTCATTCCACTTCTGTGTATCCGACCCATGCGACTGTTTCTTTCCGCAGGAACGGTTCGTCGGGTGCGTATTGTATTGCTCAAGGCGACTCATCTACCGTTTGTCGCCTTGATTGTAGCTTATGAAGCTGGTCGGCGCTACGTCTCGCGACGCAACACCGTGCTTCCGTCCATGTCCACCCTGCCGGGAGACACCCGCCAGGCCTCGACGATCCAACCAGATCTGTCCTCTCGGTATTCCCTGCGTCTCCCCGCGTCTGGAGGCGCGCATCCGCAAACCCCAGCGCCCGGCACCGGACGTACTGGGCACTCTCCCAGTCGCCCTTCCGGCGCGCGCGGACCAGGTGCTGGGAGGGCGAACTTGACCGACGAGATGGAACAACTCCGCGCTCAAGTGGAGCGGCTGGCGACAGCAATAGCATCCCATGCGCGAGCAGTACGTGAGGAGGAGAACTGATCCAGGGCAATATCCCAGTGGTGGGATACGCCCTTTGCCCCCCCCCCCCTGGGACTCCGCCGCACTACATAAGTTAGAGACACGCACCTGTTGCTGGTCGGCTCGCGCGGTCCGTAACTAGTTGCTACTAGCGTGCAGCTATTGATCCGACAAGAGGCCAGCATTTTTTTCCTGAGCAGCCGCTTTGATTGCTGTGGAAAGCTTTATTTTACTCGGACAATGAGAGAGAAAGGATGCGGATCTGCGATACGTGGGTTTTGCCCATAGTTATACTAGGTACCTGCAGTGCCTACCGAAGGTTAGATGATACCTACAATATTACACATACGATACACACGCGCCGATCATATTGGTCATATATTACACTATTTCTTGATGGCTGAGTGGAAGTCGGCTATTTGCTTCCCATATGGCTGAAGGACAAGAAGAATCTCTCTCTCTCTCTCCCCTCCCCCAACAGGATGCCATCGTCTATCGACCACTGTTACACACTTTACACACCTCGTCGCCTCATTCCAATTCCCTTCCTCCCCTGTTCCTCCCGGGTTCTGCGGCTATGTGTACCAATCACACCAGGCAATACGCACTGCTATCTGGCCAAGCTAGGTTACCAGACTGCCGGGCCCTGACTAAACCCTTTCCATGTCGAAAGTGCATGGTTCGAGCGAGACGGCGTCCTGCTGTTTGCCACAAGTGATACTCGACTCTCCAGGGACCCTCGTGTCCGGTCCTCTAGCTGGCCCCTCCTAACGGGGGGAGTTCGGGGGAGACTCGAGAGTGTGCCTTCTTGGAGCCAACCCGTCGCCAGTCCTGATTTTTTTTTCCCCTCCCCCCCCCCCCCCCCCCCGTTTTGACCTTGGTTTTTTTTTCTTCTTCTTTTTTTACCATCAGACTGTCCTTTCTTACTGCCCCTGGCAGTCTTCAGATCGTCATCGTGACGGTGTAGACCGATTCTTCTGGCCATATTACAGGTTGCCGACAGTATACAGTGTACACACACTGTCCCTGGGTATACTACATACACTAACTATACACTGTGGAGTGGGCGCTGTGCTGTCATGCCTCGGATCAGACGATCGCCCGATCTCTGATGCTCCAGTCCGCAGACCTAGAATGCCCTCTAATCCCTTGTGTCTACGTGGTCGTCCTTCTTGAGAATCGAGGGCCTGTCAACATCGTTAGCACAGAGTATACCGCGCTCGCATAGCGACTCCGGCGCTAAATCGCGCTGCTTCTCACCCCCAGACCCCGTACCTTCTGGGATAATAATGAAAAGCGACATGGCCTGCAGAGTCGAGCCAGGTCCAGGACGGGGTTGCTTCAGCAGGCCTGCAGCAGCCAGTTTGTCGCCTGGCTAGTCTTTTCTTTTGACAAACCCGCTCCCCTCCGCCCACCTTCATTCCCCCTCCCCCCCCCCCCCCCCCCCCCCCCCCCCCCCCCCCCCCCCCCCCCCCCCCCCCCCCCCCCCCCCCTCCCTCCCTCTCTCACTCTCCCTGCTTCTGTTCAAGTCTGCCTCGTCTGATTAGGCGTCAAGACCGTCACTTCATCTTCCCATTCAGGCGTGATCTCTCTGGGTCGATGCATTGCATGGATGCGGTGGGCACTCTGCGCCAATTGTTGCCCGAACCATTCGGTCGGTGCTATCCTTCTAATCAGCCAGCAGCTGTGGACCGGTCTTTACTACTACTTATATACAGCCGTTGCCGTCCGGTTTTCTTCGTGTAGACAAAAGACCATTTTACACTTGCCGCTACTTGCCGCGTTCCTGATTCTGCTGTCTACTACCTTACTCCATCCTCACTTGCCTCTGCGTATCTTTCGGCTTCACGGTGGTTCATGGACCCGTTGTCCACCTTGTTCCCCTTCGTCACCACCACCACCACCACCACCACGGCTTCCTCATCGTCACCATCACGGAGTCGGATGATGTCCTCTCATGGACCTACGGTGATCCAGGAGCTCTCGTCGTACCTGTCTGCGGGTTCTGCGGAAAGCATGCACCACCAGCAGCAGCAGCAGCAGCAACAACAACAGCAACCTCAGGTGCCGGTAGGCCTAGGAATCTCGCATTGTCGTATGGAGGCTGTGGAGCAGCCCCAACTGAGCACGCAGTTGCACACTTACCCATTGCCCCGCTGGCCGGAGACTGGGGTCCCCAACGAGTCGTTCTATGACCCTTCCTTGCCTCCTGGTCTGCGGGCAGTGTCTGCATGCTACGAGCCGTACGGTCTTCTGACCCCCGTCTCATCCTCTCCGGTCAGCCTCTACGAGACACAACCCGGTTTTGGGCCACATAATCGGATGGAAGGGCAATGTACCACGGCGTGGTCTTATCCTACTCCTCGTTCCAGTAATACGGTTCCACCGCAGACGATCGGTGCTGCCATTGTAGAGGAACCGCAAAAGTTTGCTTGGGACCAGACCTTGTTCATAACAGCTCCCACCCATGTGTCACCACTCCTGGCAGATGTCCCTCTGATGGTCGCCAATCCCCATCACCACCACCACCACAATACTGCTTGCCCCGTATTCGCTCCTCCGCTGCCGTCAGCCCCCAATGGGCGCCAACCTCTTCTAGAACTCGACACTAACACTGCCCAACCGGTTGCTGTCGGCCATCGGCTAGTTGGCATTGGAGAGATGGGCACCCAGCAAACCCCCCCACGGGACACCGACAACGATGAGGGGGGAAGAACGCCAGTCAAGCGGAAGAGACCCCGTCCTGACGGCCTGCAGTGCACCGAGTGTGGGTTCACCTTCACTCGACGGTCGAACTGTCGGGAACATATGAAACGGCATGATCCGTCGCTCATGACTCCCCATCCGTGCGAGGTGTGCGGCCGGGAATTTGGCCGACGGTCTGATCTCAAGAGACATGTGGATTGCGTAAGTCTCGAGAAGCGAGAAGCTCCGATGGAGGAGGCAGTTGGCCTGTTTGGGTGGGCTAACCCATACACCGTTGATTAGATCCATCGCGGATTCAAGCGGTTCAGCTGTGACGAATGTGGTCGGCGGTTCACTCGTCAAGATACCTTGTCGAAGTTAGTCTTTTTTTTCCCCCCCTCTCTCTTCTCACAGAGTATCCAGGTAGCAAGTACTGATACTTTGTGATAGGCACCAGCTTGACTGTTCTCAACTCAAAGTCCCGAATCAGATAGACAGCACTGACAGCACTTGGGCACCGCCCCCGGACAGGCGATCGCCGTCCTCCTCTCCTCCCTCGACCCCTCTGAAACGACGGGTTCGCCGCAGACGAGCACAGGGAAGAAAGTAGATTTCTTTTCTTTCTCTCTCCAATATACTCTCGCCGATCATTTTGCATTCCTGATTCCGTCTCCATCTCCATCCGGCGTTGATCGCCCTTGATGGATTGATTGTGCATTCTGCTTTTTTCTTTTTTTTCTTTTTTTTTTTTTTTTTGTCGCCCCTGCATTTACAGGAAAGAAACCAAGGATATTATGCCTAATGATGTATACCCGAATCATGATCCATATGTGAGTCTGAGAAGATAGGTTGTCTGTCAAGCAGTGTCTTTTGTATCTTCTATATTGCTCTCATCTGTCCAAATATATTGCTGTCCTTTCTACTATAACTCCATTGCAGCAGGCTCTGATTTGTTCCTTCGCAAAGATCATCATGGCAACGCCAATAAACCGCTCTCAATGAAATTACCATGGACTAACTGTTGCTCATATCTCCTTTGAGACCCTCAGTCCAGGGTTCTTTCTTTCTGCCCAAAGATACAGGCAACTACCCTGACCTCTCGACTGGGAACTCGGAAATATCGGATCGAAGGAACTTGGCCATGCACACTCACGTATGCATTGAATCATACCTCATCATTTAATGATTCAGTCAAGGGTCTGATATATAAAAAGTACGCAAGTGCGGGGTATCAATCGAGGACCTCCCATCAGTCAAACACCTTGACAGAGACCTCTACTAGCATACTGATTCTTAACAAGACAATTATCCCAGAATTAACTGGAAGAGAGAATCGTAAAAATCAGATTAATTGGAAGGAGAATCGTAGAAGTCAGATCAATTGGAAGGAGAATCGTAGAAATCCAAATGGATCTGCCTCTTTCCACCGCCTAAAAATGCCTCCCCCTCCCGACCGAAAGACGACGATAACAAACACAATCAAGCAGTCCGAATCTCTCCTTTCTCTTCTCCTTTCTTCTCTCCTTTCTTTTCTCCTATATCTCTACCTCTATTCATTAACCTGCCAAAAATGAGTACGACGACGACGACTACCACCACCACGACTATCAGGTCTCCCCCGACGATTACAGCCGACAATGTCGCGACGTTGTTCCCCGAAGTCGACACCTCGCTGGCCCGGTCGATCTTCCCTGCGGCGGGGAATGCCGGGTCTGATGAGACGGGCGATCTCGACGGCTACGACGAAGAGCAGGTGCGGTTGATGGACGAGGTGTGCATTGTTCTCGACGAGGATGATAAACCGATCGGCAGTGCGAGCAAGAAGGTTTGTAAGTAGACTTTTTTTTTCTATATATCTATTTTACATGTTCTGTTGAATGAAGGAAGCTAATGTTCAGGCCACTTGATGACCAACATTGACAAAGGACTGCTGCACCGCGCGTTTTCCGTCTTCCTGTTCGACTCGAACCAGCGGCTGCTCCTCCAACAGCGGGCAACGGAGAAGATCACCTTCCCGGACATGTGGACGAATACCTGCTGCTCGCACCCGCTGGGGATCCCCGGGGAGACGGGCGCCGAGCTGGAGGCGGCGGTGATGGGGGTCAAGCGGGCGGCGCAGCGCAAGCTCGAGCAGGAGTTGGGGATTCCGCCTGAGCAGGTGCCGATCGAGAAGTTTGAGTTCCTGACTCGCATACACTACAAGGCTCCTAGCGATGGGAAGTGGGGGGAGCATGAAAGTAGGACAGACAGCCTTGAATCCTCATTGAACCGTTTTATTCATACTGATCAATAGTCGATTATATTCTGTTCATCCAAGCCGACGTCGACCTGGCCATCAACCCCAACGAGGTGCGTGATTCGCGGTACGTCTCGGCCGAGGAGCTCCGGCAGATGTTCGAGCAGCCGGGGCTCAAGTTCACTCCCTGGTTCAAGCTGATCTGCCATTCCATGCTGTTCGAATGGTGGGGGCACCTGGGCACCGCCGCGCTGGATGCCTACAAGGGCGAGCAAGAGATCCGACGGATGTAATCGTGCAATGTAGATAGCAGATGATTTACATATCAGATACCAACAGCATAAATCATGTCTCATAAATAAATAAATACACAAAGTACCTATCTATGATTGATCGGTCGAGAGAAACAAAACACAGCTACCGAGAATGGCGACGGCGACGACGGTGAAAACAATCTGCGTCTTCCAGCCGGCCTGGACCAGCGCGGCCTTGCGCGAGTACTTGCGCACGGTGACGACGTAATTGGCGAACCCGTTGGCCAGACAGGCCAGACTCAGCAGCCAGAAGACCAGGCCGAGGGGGAGGGCCATCTTGCGCTCGAGGCGGGTGGGCTGCGACTTGAAATGAAAGGAGATGATGATCGCCATGGAGACGATGGCGAGGTACATGGCTAGGCGGAGCCAGGAGAGAAAGGTGCGTTCGTTGGCGCAGTGGTCGCGGGCATCGGAGGAGACGTTTTCGAAGACGAGAGGACCCAGAAGGGGGCGGGTGAGGAAGATGTGCGTCTTGTCGTTTGTGTGTCTGTTGGTGTGTTAGTATATCTCACATCGCAGTTGTATATGTTTCTTCTTCAGAGAGATAGTACTACTCGTTGATCAGGATCGGACGGGTGTGCGTCGGGTTGATGAGCGGGTTGTATCGTCGTGGGCGTGTCTCCTCCTCGTCTGTTATCGTGCTCGTCATTGCGATGATAGATGAACGATCGGCTTGAGACTGGAGATAAAGCTGAAGATGAAGCTGGAGAAGAAGCTGGAGAAGATGAAGCTGGAAAGTCCGTGATGTCAGGCGCCAAGGCTGGCGATCATGTCTGAGACGATGCCTGAGGCAACTGGTCCTGATACGATGCCTGAGGCATCCAACTCTGTATGGCACCCATAAATATACATCCAAGTTTATGCTTTTATCAGCTCAATGGATAGACTTATATTAATATCAAATGACAAGGCAGTCTGCAAGGGAAGAATAGCATATTTGCATCACTACACATAACCATGGGATGCCTTGATGTATCTAGCCAAATACCTGAGCTGTGTAATGTAAATGGGAGGCCTTATTGTTGAAGCCATGGTCAATATAAAAGCCATCAAGTTCCTACTTACTACTATCCTCTACTATCTTCTACTATCTTCTACTACAATACTTCTTATATCAGAATCAACGAAATGCGCTTCATCACTATGACTCTTGCCTTGCTGGCGAGTTCCCTCCTTGTTGCCGCTGCCCCTGCAGAAGGAGAAAAAGTGAAACGGGATTGTCCTGACAACTGGAACTGTGGAGTACGTATTTTGAATAGGATATATATATATACCACAAGTATAGCTAACATCTTGTCTAGGAATGCAATGGGACCTCCTGCAAGATTGGAATATCCAATTTGTATGTCATGACCCATCACTATAGAAACAATATTCAATGCTAATGTATAATATAGTGCCTGTACCAATGGCAAGGTACATAACCTTTATAGATACCTATATACCTACGACTATATAACCAGGCTAATGCTATGTTTAGTGTACAGCACAGAGTGGAGGAGGAGATGGTGCCGCCTGCCATCAAGATGCCGAAGACAACAGAGTATATTGCCCTGGCAACTGAGACTAGATAGATGAAGAAACGATATGAATGGACTTTACTTTAGTATACCCCTTGATCCTGTATCACCCTATCTTCCGTATGGCGTTAATGCCTGAGGCATAAAATGCGAATGATCACGTGGGTATAGTCACATGACCATTAGTAATATCACATGGCATGACGTCATGAGGGCAGACCAGCTGAGCGCCTTCACGTGCTGCTTCTGTTGACGCCGGACAGAAACTCCCCTCCTCCCCTCCTCTTTGCCAGTCCAGACCAGCCTCTCTCCGACGCCATGACAGCTCCAGACTAACACTTGTTGCTGTTCTTCGCAGTTGTACCGTCGACGAGCCCAGGGTTCTCGCCTGGACCTACTCTGTGGGGCCTAGCGGTTCGCAGCTTTTTTTTGGCGGGCAGGTTATTGGTGAGCACAATAGGACCGAAAGAGCCTCAAGAGGTGCATTATTTCCTCCAAAGTGATACTGACTGAGAGTGAAATAGTTTACTGCGTGAGCAACCAGTACTGCCGCTGTCTGCCTCGAGATCCTATTACATACTACATTCGCCTATCATCCAGCCCGGCGCTGTAATCGCCGTATCTGCTCTGGCTGAGTGGACCCAGGCGCCTCCATCGCTCGCTTATCAGCAGAATTGCTCTGGGTTTCTCCGCTTTAAAGCTTGCTGCTCTCGCTACTCGCGCTGCTCTCGCTGCTTCCAGACCATATCGCTCAGCTTTGTGCAGTTTTTGCTGCTGCGATGGTTAGAAATATCCACTACCCTGTCTATAATTTATATTGAGTGACCCTACTCCATCATTACTACTACTATATAAACCCTTGAGCATGGCTCGCAACGTCGCCCGGGCGATCAATCCGCCGTCACATCCTGGCTCATACAACCGCTCGTTTCTATCCGCCTCCCCTCTCGCAGAGGCGGCTATTGCGCGCGATCTGGCAGACTACGCCGGCGCTGTTATCACTGACGACGAGGAAGAGGAGGAGTCTGACTCCTCGACCGTCCGTCCGATCAACAACGGCGAGAGCTTACACTCCCTGGCCGGGTCGTATCGCCGCCCGAGCTTTATCGCGAGTACCTCGCGGGGCACCGTCGTACCCCATCACCTAGAGCCGGAACGGCTGTCGCATCGCGAACGGGAACAGATCTTTGAAGAGGAGAGACGCCTGCTGAGCGACAATCATATCATCCGGACAGATCACGCGCCTGACGCATCCGCTGGGCTGCAACACAAAATCAGCGGGCTGTTCTCCTCGCGTAAAGGGTCGGTCTCGGCGAGTGATGCTTCCTCGGGGATCCACGGCGATCAAAGAAATCGCACCGCCGTCACCGAAACCACATCGCTACTGGGCGCGGAGAACCATCGGGCGGTCGAAGAAGAAATCGACCGCAAATGGGAAGAGGCCGTCGTCGCGGGCCTGATTCAGACGTCCTGGCGACGGGAAGCCCAGGTGATTGGCACATACGCCGCTCCGCTCATGCTCACTTTCGTCCTCCAGTATTCCTTGACCGTGTCTAGTGTCTTCGCCATCGGCCGTCTAGGGACAAAGGAGCTCGGAGCTGTCAGCCTGGCTAGCATGACTGCCAACATCACCGGCTATGCCGTCTACCAGGGTCTTGCGACGAGTCTGGACACCCTCTGTGCTCAAGCGTACGGGTCCGGGAAGAAGAAGCTCGTGGGCTTACAATTGCAGCGAATGGTCTATTTCCTTTGGCTCTCCACCATTCCTATTGCTCTTACCTGGTTTTTCGCTGACCACATCCTCTTGAAAATTATCCCGGACAGGGAAGTCGCCGTTCTGGCTGGGCAATACCTCAAGATTGTGCTTCTCGGGACTCCTGGGTATGCCTGTTTCGAAAGTGGGAAACGATATGTACAAGCTCAAGGGCTCTTCTCTGCTTCTCTCTACGTTCTGATTTTCTGCGCCCCATTGAACGCCTTGATGAACTGGCTATTTGTTTGGGTGAGTTTGAATTCTCCAAAAAGAAGAAGAAGAAAAATTACTGACCATATAGAAATTCGAGTGGGGATACATAGGAGCTCCTATCGCCGTGGCCATCACAGACACCCTTCTCCCGATCTGTCTGTTCCTGTACGTGTATTTCGTGGCCGGATCCGAATGTTGGAACGGCTTCACCTGGCGAGCCCTCCATAACTGGGGACCGATGATCCGCCTCGCGCTTCCGGGCCTGATGATGATTGAGGCCGAATGCCTGGCCTTTGAGATCCTCACGCTGGCCTCCTCCTACCTCGGCACCGGCCCTCTAGCAGCCCAATCGATCCTCTCCACCGTCTCCAGCCTCACCTTCCAGATCCCCTTTCCGCTGTCCATTGCGGGCAGCACTCGGATTGCAAACCTGATCGGGGCCACCCTGGTGGGGGCGGCCAAGACGTCCGCCAAAGTGAGCATGAGCGGCGCCGTGATCGTCGGCGTGTTCAATATGATCCTCCTGTCTGCCCTCCGCTCCTACATCCCCCGCCTGTTCACCTCCGACGAAGAGGTCGTCGGACTCGTCGCCCAGGTCCTCCCGCTCTGTGCCGCCTTCCAGCTCTTCGACGCCCTGGCCGCAAACTGCAACGGCATCTTCCGAGGTCTCGGCCGCCAAGAGATCGGCGGCTACGTCCAGCTGTTCTGCTACTACGCCGTCGCCATGCCCATCAGCTTTGGAACCACCTTCGGTCTCGGTTGGGGCTTGCCCGGTCTCTGGTCTGGTGTGGCCATTGCCCTGGGCCTGGTCTCGCTTATTGAAAGCATCTTCCTCAGTCAAGTTGATTGGCAACGCTCTGTCGATGAAGCCATCACCCGGAATGCCATGGCATGATATGCTCACTTATCTACATGTTTTATCTTTATACATCTTTATATACTTTCATGCTGTTTACTGATGTCTGTCTTTGTATTTCCTTGATACATTATTAGACACTATTCATGAATATGATGACTATGATCTATGATCCCCCAATTTTGAACTCCCGAAAGCGTAGCCGAGATTATAAATAGAAAAAGAAAGGTACTTTTTCCGAAAAAGACTTCCCCCCCCCCAAAACCTTGTATTCTGTTCCAAGGATCAACCATCAAGCATGTGCCACGGCACCCACCAAAATATTATCCTGAGATTTGGCATCCTCATCACCAATGTTAGTCGTGCCCAACTCCCGGAGTTCCATGGTGATGATTCCCTCGACGGGGGTATCCTTTGAACCGCTCTTCTTCCGCGGCGTTGTCGAACTGCCGCCCTTCGTTTTGCGGGTCAGGGGGTAGGACTCCCCGGAATGATATTCTTTATTGCGGATGAGGGCCCAGAGCGGGCGAAGGGTGGGGATGGAGCCTGCAATGATGATCGCGTACATCTGTGATATAGACCGAGTTAGATTGAGCCAACAACCCGAAAGAAGAGAGAAGAGAGAAGAGAGAAGGGGGGCATGATTGTGTCCGAAGTACCTCCGTCCTAGAGTTAAGTTCAATATCAGCCAAAGTCGATCAATGGAACTAGTTAAAACTCACATGTACCAAATTGCAATCATGGCCCAGCTGTCTATAGGGAAAAAAAAAAGAAAAGGGTCAGTACGAAGCTTATCCCAAACGGTTGTTTTTTCTTTTTCTTTTCTTTTTTCCTTACAGGTCATATCGGATGTGTCCTCGATTTGCCCCATTACAACAACTTTGACAAGACTCGCTACCGCACCACTTTCAGCCGCGTCAGCAGTCCATCAGGTCAGATCAGGGTGACAGAGAGAGGGCAATGAACGTACAGGACGCCTCCGCTCATGACAACGGCGAGACCCCATTTCATCTTCGATCTCATATTCAAAGTCCAGAGCATCAGGACCGGGAAGGCGGCGCACAGGAGATCCATAAAGGCATTGTAAACTGATATATATTATTAGCCTTTGAGTTCAGATAAGTAGAGTAGAGTGGATACCTGTCACAGCCCGTCCGCCAATATTCAGAACCTGCGCCGACATGCAGGTCCCTTCCACGGTGGGATCCCAAGCCTTGCGAGGCGGGTTGCAATAGCCCAGCAGAACGACCATGGCGAAAATATTGCCTCCGATCATGAGGGCAGTGGTGGTGTACAGGATGATGCGATGGGGGATGGTCGCCGCCAACCCGAGCAGTCGTAGCAGGAATAGCACGACGGACAGTTTGGCTGACGCCGAGGCAAGCAGCGAGATCGCGGGTGCAATGAGGATGTACTTGATTGCATTCTCGAGATCGCTTACGCTGGTGATGTCCGCTTCGTGGATGCCAAAGCCGTAGGTGGTGGAAACCGTCACCAGCGCTGTGGTCACAATAGCTGCCGCCTGTTTGATGGTAAGTAATAGCCTTGGTCTATGAGGTCCAGGGACTCACCCAGGCAAACACCATCAGCCAGTCATCCCACCCTTGCTTTTGCACCGCAAAGGCTCGGCAATAGATGCGGGAAAACACCACAAAGGTGGCGAGAGCTCCAAAGCTCCAGCCGACAGCGTTGAGGGCTGGACGATAGTCGTTGACCATCTTTGACCGTGATAGCCGATGTCTTTGTGGTGGTGGTGGTGTTTGAAGAAACGGAAGCGCAATAGAGTTCGTCTTCTACTCCCGCTGTCAGGGAGATAGAAGATAAAGGAGGAACCCCTTCTCCAGCCGTTGACACCAAGGAGGCTTGTCCAGTGTCCAATGAGGAAAATGCACTCGATCGTCCTCATGGATATGTCGCATGTAGTAACTACATAGTAACTATGTAGTATATGTCGAACTAGGGAAGCCAGACCCACTTCTGCCCCGTCTTGACCGAGCGGGCCGCTTCCCCGTGGCGTGGGCCGTGCCTAGCGAGAAAATGGAGAGGGGAAAGTGGGGAGGGGTCCTGGTCGGTGCGATCCCGACATGGGCAAAGAGGAACCTGCTTGATAATGTCGATTCCCCCCCCGGCCAATTCGCTTGAGCGGCCAAAAGAAAGAAATATATTTGGTGATTCATCATTCCGACCTTTTTCTTCACCTTTGCTCTCTCCCTGCCACCCTGTCGCGGGCCCTTGAGAGGATCGATCGAAAAAGCCACACCATGACTGGGATGACCCTGGTTCTGCTGCTCGCGATACTTATCGCGGTCAGGATTCTGTATGAACGGCGAAGGGATCGCCGTCTCCCACCGGGGCCTCCCCGGTTGCCCCTAATCGGAAACCTGCACCAGGCCCCGTTGGAGCTGCCCGCGCGCACGTTTCATGAATGGAGCCGAAAGTACGGCCCGGTCATCAGCGCGCAGTTTGGCATGAACACCGTCATCATGATTGCCGACCCGGTGATTGCCCGGGACCTGCTTGACAAACGGGGCCAGATCTACAGCGATCGCCCCCGGATGGTCATGGCGGGCGAGAACCTGACCAAGGGCATGCATCTGCTGCTCCGCCGGTACAACGACCGCTACCGACTGCATCAGCGTATGGACGCCCCCGCGTTGGGTCCGCGCGCCTCGCCAACCTACTATCCCCTCCAGGATCTGGAAAGCAGACAGCTCCTCTTCGACCTGTTGACCTCCAACGACTTCGATAAGATCTTTGGCCGGTACGCCGCCAGTTTGATGTATGCGCTGGCATATGGGTATCGGCTTCATACGGGCAACGAGAAGATCATGAAGGATGCGCACCAGGTGCAGCAAAACTTCGCCTACGCCGGCCGCGTCGGCACATGGATCGTAGACGCCATCCCGGCTCTCAACGTCCTGCCCCCACTGCTCGCTCCCTGGAAACGAACGGCGGAGAGCTTTTTCCAGATGGAGAAAGCCATGCACCTGCGTAACCTCGACGCCGGGCGGTCGGCGTCCGGCTGGAACTGGACCAAGGAATTCACCAACTCGCCAGAAGCAAAGGACATGGATGACGTGGAGCTGGCGTATAACCTGGGGATCGTCGCCGACGCTGGTCTCGACACCACTACTATGGTCATGCGAGTGTTCACGCTCGCCGCTCTCGTAGCCCCGGACTTCATCCCCAAGGCCCAGAGCGAGTTGGACCGGGTGGTGGGACCGGATCGCCTGCCCGTTCTAGCTGATAGGGACCATCTCCCCTATATCGCCGCAGTGGTTGAGGAGACGCTTCGCTGGCGCACCATCGCCCCGACGGGGGCCCCGCATGCCACCACGCAGGATGATTCGTACGGAGGCTACCTCATCCCTAAGGGTGCGACGGTCATGGCTCTCTTCTGGACAATGTGTCTGGACGACGCCCAAGGGGACAGTCCATTCCATTTCCGCCCAGAACGGTGGCTCGTCCAGCGCCTGGGGAACGGCACCTCCGACAAGACCAGTGCAGAGCAGCAGCCATTCGTGAATTTTTTCGGGTACGGCCGCCGGATCTGTGCTGGGCGACATATCGCTCGCAACTCCCTCTTCCTGCTTATTGCGCGGCTGCTGTGGGGGTTCAACATCCGGCATGCAGTGGATGCCAACGGGAAGAAGAAGAAAGTGGACGACATGGCGTTCACCTCTGGCTTCGTCTCGGCCCCAGTGCCGTTCGAGGCAATCTTCGAAGCCCGCAGTGCGCAGGCCGCCGCCGTGATCGAGAGGGAGTGGAAGGTGGCGGAGAAGGATGTTGGCAAGCTTATGGATGGGATCCGCGAGGAGCAGGCTGCACGGGGTTTGAGTCTGTGTGCGTGAGACTCTTTTGGTGCGGGTATCTCTATTGCATTGTTGGTAGATTCCCCCTAAGTCGAAAGACAGTAGTACCTAGGATATCAGTTGTTCGCGTTCTATTCAAAGATCTACTCACCTCAACCGTGACTTTTAAACCAGAGGTTTGCTTTGAAGATATAGTCTAGAGATGAAGTACACACAGGTCGAATATCGTAACGCAATATCGTATCATATTTTTCTTTAAAAAAAATGGGTTTTCTTCTTCTTTTTAGTACTCCAAGATAGCCCATGTCATTTCGTCGACAGTGGAGAAAACCAAGCCGGCCGTCAGCAGTTCGTCACCGGCACGACTCACCTCCGTAGCCGGCAGGTTCAGTTTGGCTGCGATGAGCTGCATGTGCAGCCCCTCGTTGCTCTGCGGTTCGTTCTTCAGCAGATTGAACACACGCCGAGCCACGGGCGACATGGCGGGGAGGGCCTTGTTGTTACCCGCAGCGTAGTCGCCGCCTCCCATCGACATTTCGCCGCCTTTACCCACTGCACCACCACTGCCAGCTTCTGTCTTGGGGCCTGGCGGGCCCCGCGTGAAGAACAGATGCACGGCCGCTGCCTCCAGGAGGTGGACGTGCAGCTCGTTGATGTTTGTTAAGGGCCGCACGACCTGGGCTCCCACGTAGCGCTTGTTTCCAAACGACTTCAGCTTCCCATATACCTTGGCATAACCGTTCAATTCAATCTTCGGCTTGCCGGACCCGCCGTCGTCGCCTTCTTTCGCTTCATCCGTGTCCATCGAGTCTGCTGACGAGGGGTCGTTCCATTGCTTCACTTCGATCTCGCCCGTCCCGTCGTCGATCTTGTACGTTACATTGGTGCTCTGCGATGAGATATTGCGAACCTGACCGACAAAGCAGATCGTCGACGCGTCCGCCGAGTCGATCTGGTAGTTGGCTTCGGGGTACGGCTGGGTGGCATCCAGGGCCTGCTTGACTGTGACGGGCCGCAGGGTCTGGTTGGATTCGCCCTGAAACATGTCAGCGTCTATCTACCTGCGATGGATCCCACCCAGTAGCTGGAGTTCCTGCCCCTCACCTTGCCTCCTGATGGACTGTTCGTCTCGCCCGGCATAAACCCTCCTCCTCCGCCGCCTCCCCCTCCGCCGTACGAGTTATTCTGGTATCCGTATCCGCCGTCTAGAGCAATTATTAGCACGAAGCAAATGACATGACGCCCAAAAGCTTACCCATGGTGTAGATGAGGTCAGAGTCTGTGTCTCGGTGAGGCTCTATTTTACCCGTTCGGGTTCAAGCGTGTCGACGCGTCGCGAGGAGCTGTTTGTCATGTTTGACATGTTTGCAATTCCGGAACGGGGGATTGTTTATCCCTCACCGCCTTTGGATATTTTTTGTGACCGCAAAAAAAGACTTCAGGCAAAACTGCCTGGCGCAAGTGTCGGAAACAATTCGGTCTTGAGACAGGGCTGTTGTTCCGATTGAGGCTATTTCCTTTCTCTCTGTACCTTTGAGCTTTGGTTGTCTCCAGTGCATCAGACAAGTGGGCTGACGGACTGGCAATCCCGCCTACCAGAGCGGTATTTTTTTTCGGTATTTTTTTTACTGTTTCGTCCTCTCTCGACGCTGCTTAAACAATGTCGCCACGCCGGGCGTCTTCTCCTGCAATGTCGGAAAATGAGTTCGACATTACAAATGCCCTGTTCCAGAACGATAGCGGCTCCGACGAGGAAGTTCCCAAAAAGTCACGACCACCGCCGAAGGCAATCCCGCAACATGATCTTGATCTACTTGGCAGTGACAACGAGGAGGATGACGAGACATTCATCGCAAATCAGCAATCGGCGGCAAACAGAAAAGCGTCGAATCTTAAAGGTCGTACAGTCAAGAAGGGCGGTGGCTTTCAGGCGATGGGCCTGAATGCTAAACTGCTGAAAGCCATCACTCGCAAGGGGTTTTCGGTTCCGACTCCCATCCAGCGCAAGACGATTCCTGTGATTCTGGATGAGCAAGATGTTGTCGGCATGGCCCGAACAGGTTCGGGAAAGACGGCCGCCTTTGTGATTCCTATGATTCAGAAATTGAAGAGCCATAGCACCAGATTTGGTGCCCGGGGACTCATCCTTTCGCCGTCCCGAGAACTGGCACTGCAGACGTTGAAGGTAGTTAAAGAGCTGAGCCGAGGGACCGATCTAAAGCCTGTTCTCTTGGTTGGTGGAGACAGCTTGGAGGAACAGTTCGGGATGATGGCAGGGAACCCGGACATTGTCATTGCAACCCCCGGACGTTTCCTGCATTTGAAGGTGGAGATGAGACTAGACCTGTCGAGCATCCGTTACGTGGTCTTTGACGAAGCCGATAGACTCTTCGAAATGGGTTTCGCTGCTCAGTTGACAGAGATTCTCCACGGCCTGCCCGCTACCCGCCAGACTCTGCTGTTCTCTGCGACGCTACCTAAATCGCTGGTTGAATTCGCTCGTGCCGGCCTCCAGGAGCCGACGCTAATTCGACTGGACGCTGAAAGCAAGATATCTCCCGACCTTCAGAACGTGTTCTTTTCCGTCAAATCTGCCGACAAGGAGGGAGCACTGCTGCACATTCTACACGATGTCATTAAGATGCCCACGGGCGAGACGGAGGTTTCTCAAAGACTGCGGGAAGAGGCTAATTCGAAGAATCCTAAAAAGCGCAAGCGATCCGAAATGGAACGGGTGAAGTACAAAGAGTCGCCCACGAAACATTCCACCATTCTATTCGCTGCCACCAAGCATCATGTGGATTATCTGTATTCCCTTCTCAAAGAAGCCGGGTTTGCCGTTTCGTATGCCTACGGTTCGCTGGACCAGACGGCTCGAAAGATGCAGGTGCAGAATTTCCGGATCGGCGTTTCGAATATTCTGGTTGTCACTGATGTCGCTGCGCGTGGTATCGATATCCCCGTTCTAGCTAACGTTATCAACTACGACTTTCCTTCTCAGCCAAAGATCTTTGTTCACCGTGTTGGCCGAACGGCCCGTGCCGGGCAGAAGGGGTGGAGTTACAGTCTTGTCCGCGACGCGGATGCCCCTTACATGCTGGACTTGCAGCTTTTTCTGGGTAGAAGACTGGTGCTGGGGCGTCAGTACGGTGACCAGGTTGACTTTGCCGAGGACGTGGTTGTGGGCTCTCTCCGGCGCGATGCTCTAGCACGAGGCGTGGAATGGGTGAACAAGGTTCTCGACGACGATGTGGATATTGCTGGCCAACGAGCGGTCGCCACCAAAGGAGAGAAGCTGTACATGCGTACACGGAATGCCGCCTCTCTCGAGAGTGCCAAACGAGCCAAGGAGATCGTATCTACGGATAATTGGACGGCTCTCCATCCTTTGTTCAATGACGAACAGAGCAACATGGAGGTGGAGCGGGAGAAGATGCTCGCCCGGATTGGCGGGTATAAGCCCAACGAAACGATCTTCGAAGTGAGAAACCGCCGCGGCGGTAAGAATGACGCCGACGAAACCATCGACACCATCAAGAGGATCCGAACGACGATCGAAAAGAAAAAGCGAGCACAGGCAGGATCCGAGGCCGTGGATGGTGATGATGATGATGCCCCGGAAGCAGGCAACGATGGGAACATGGTATCCTTTGCCGACGAAGACGACGAAGCGCCCCAGGGCCAACCGGATGACATGTCCATGGCGTCGGATTCCGAGCTGGAGGTGACCTTTTCCGCGTATTCCAAGCCAAGCGAGGGGGGCAAGGCCAAGCAAGGCAAGGAGGGAGCCACCTCCTTCCAGAACCCAGACTATTTCATGTCCTACACGCCGGCCAACACATCCCTGGCCGAGGACCGCGCGTACGGTGTCCACTCCGGCACGAACACGAACTTCGCAGCCGCCTCGCGCAGTGTGGTGATGGACTTGGCGGGCGACGACGGGGGTCGCGGGTTCGCGGAGCCTCGGTCCATCATGCGCTGGGACAAGCGACACAAGAAATACGTCTCGCGGCAGAACGACGAGGACGGGTCCAAGGGTGAGCGGCTCGTCCGCGGCGAGAGCGGTGCCAAGATCTCCGCCAACTTCCGCAGCGGACGGTTCCAGGCCTGGAAGCGCGGCAAGCGGCTGGACCATCTTCCACGCGTGGGTGAGGCCGAGGCGCCCGGCATGGGGGCCGACCTCAACGCCTCGATGCGCGGGAAGCGGTTCCGGCACCGCAAGGACCAGGCGCCCAAGGCCGCCGATCCGCTGCGCGGCGACTACGAGAAACGCAAGAAGAAGGTCGAGGCAGCGCGCGAGCGCCAGACATCCAAGGCCGGTGGTGCTGCGTACGGGGGAGGCAGGGGCGAGATCCGCAACAACGAGGATATCAGAAAGGCGCGTCGGCTCAAGGAAAAACGCAGGGAGAAGAATGCCCGGCCGTCCAAGAAGAAGAGGTAATCGGCTTTTTTTGGGGGAGGCAGATGTTGCGCTTTGCTTTTATGTATATGAAAACTCGATACCCATCGATATAACCTTATACTTTTTTGCCAGAAATATCTTCCTGTAGGAATTTGCCATTCTTTACATTTGATCTAGAACCATACGCTGTCATTCAAACCAAGGACACTCGTATACTCGACTTGCTCGATACTCTGCTGACATCTCTCGACAATCCTCAAGTGGAAACCCGCTGGTAGCCTCCCTTCTGTTCACCGGGATAGCCAGGTAGGTCTACGAGGTCTCGCATCAACTAGAACGAGGACGGAGCTGCTGTCTTCATGCAGTCGATTTCACTGCCGGGCCTTTCGTATTCCTTAATATTCCCCGTCCATGAAAGCGCTCACGGGCTTTGTGCGTGCAGGAGAAATTCGATAGTGTCGGGCGTATCAAGACCGCGGCAATCTCGGCCTATCAACGCCCATCTGAGAGGGGCTGGATAGCTCATTTTCTTATTGGTAGCAGGGCTCATTATTGAGACTCGACAGCTTCACTCGAGAGCTTTTTCTTTTCTTTTTTCTTTCTCTTTTTCAGGGGTGTGTGATGGCCCATCTAGAGCACCGAGCCCAGCATGACAACAAAAGTACTCTGTAGAGAGGTGCACTAGCGAGTACTGGTTCCCATTAGCATGTACCTTCGACCGGAAAGGGTGAATGAGCAGAAGATTATTCTTGTGAGATAAAAAGAAAAGAAAAGAAAGAGACGAAGCAAGACCTAGCTAGGCAGTGTTGGTCGGTCGGTCGAGGCCTGGAGAAATTATTAACATCCCCCGTCAAACAGCTCTTACGACTCAGGAGGCGTCGTCAGTAGCAAAAAATATTGGATTCATCGCGAGAAATCCCGTCACTCATCAGATAAAAATGGACCTGTGACTTATGCCTCGTCTTCATCCCCATTCCTGCGTTCTGTCCCCAATAGGGGGGAATCCTCCCCCCCTCCCCCCCTCCCCGTGCTTGATACCAAAGGTCGGAGCGATCAGGCTGAGATAGTCCCTGCGAGTCCGGCGCTTGAGAGAGGATCGACAGCAAGGATGATAGATGATAGAGGACTGCTAGTCGTCTGGACACTGGACAGTTACTCGTATTCAAGTGAGATGCGAGAGGTCGATCCATGCAGGTGACAAGGATGGGAAGCAAATACCATGATGACATATCGATACGAATAATACGGATAAAAGACGCAGAATTTGCCTGTGGTGGGCGTTACTGACCGTAATACCGGTTTCCGCGGCCTGACCGCCTTGCGTCCCTGAGAGCCTCCTTCCCGTTTGGGCCTCCCACGGTCCGTCCCGCAAAAGAGGAAGGAACAATCGACCTCCTCCAGCTCAGCCTCAACGAAAGGAAGAAAGCCTTTGTTCGGCAGCTTCCTCGACCCTCAACACTCGACACTCCGCACTCCTCCCTCCCTTCCTCCCTCATCGTCTTCCACACCACGATTGGAGCGAATGGGAGCTTATCTTTTCCTAAAAGCAAGTTCAGCGCAACGGCGATCGAAGGAGCAAAACGGCCAGTGCGATTCCGCTATCCGGACACGTTCAGTCGACTCTCCACGATCGTCACACAGGCAGCTTTGCAGTCAGTGCAAGCCCACCGTCCATCCTTGGATCGATCTGCAGCCTGCAGTGATAATCCGGGAGGTGATTGAGCAGCCGTTTGCTGTGTCTCTGGTCCTTGCAGATCGGCTGCGTCGGCCCAAACAGTCGTCTTTCTCGAGGCGGAGGGGCCAGACTTTGAAGGACGGACATGAGGAACCGAATACCATGTGCCGAGAATATCCCTAACTTTTCCCGCCAGTAGAGGTGGAGGTCGTCTGTTCTGGTGCAGGGAGGGCATTTCGTCCCCTACAGGTGGGTTGTCTGTCTCGTCTCGCAATTCCTCGACGGCATCCGTTGATTTGATGCACTACTACGGAGGACCAGGGTATAAATATCACATAATAATCACAATTAACCCACTAATGAAAGGAATGGCGGAGGATTGTGGCGCGGGTTGCAGTGTTCACTATTCAGTACTAACTCGAGTCTAGAGTCCACAGGGTCCAGCACAAGGACCAGATCATGAGATGACCTCGACAAATCGTAGAGCGAACTTATGTGATCGATCGCCTGCTTCCCGGGCTCCGATTGGCAACAACAGAAAACCGAAACTTTCCGGCTTCCACCTACGGAGTGCTCGTACATTGTGGACCGAGATCACGAGGGTCAGATCAAATCAGACTCGACGATTTCATTCCGGATTTTTAGGGTTGATCCCTTCTTGTGTCACCCATAGACTTGTTTGCTCTCCATCAACCTCGAGGCGCCAAGCCACTCGTCTCAACATCGTCGTCAGTGCGCGCTGTGCTCCGTACGGAATACGCAGTACGATACACAATCCTTTAAACGGAGTACCGAGTAGTTACCTCATACACAAGCCTTTCGGAGTTTTAAAACGGTGGGTCTACGGAGTACGGATACGGAGTACCGTGGTCATGGCGAAGGCCGACAGTACGGAATCCATACAGAGCACGGAGTCCTCCGCACAGCAACAAGAGGGTCCGACGGACACTTCTACACCCGGTGTGTTGCAAGATCTGCGAGATCTACGTTAACTACTCCCAAAACCGTTTCGTATCATCGGGCATACCCTGCAGGAATTGTCAAAAGTCTCCGTTGGGAGACTTGAGAGTCATGGTAGTCAGTTGATAGCCACGGCTCGGAGCCTTCCCCCCCAACGTCTCGAGTGACCCTCTCCCTCATCCATCAGAGCACACGCATGGGATACCCATTGCATAGATCACTATGCCGTAGTACAGAGTATTACTCCGTATCGCCTTATTTTGCGTTTCGGCTGATGGTTACTAGGAACGTGGCCTCGCATACTTCGGAGTGTGACTACGGACTCCGGGCTCCGTAGGACAATACCGAGCACTGTTTCTCCGGCAGATTTTCCTTCAATGGCCACGGAGAATTACGATTTCAGCACCCACGATACTACCGTCGAGTATGGGCGCTAAATAAATGGACTATCATGGGGTGATGCTCCGAATATCTTGCCTGACAGATCGTGGCCCCGGCCGGGTCTACTACATACTAAGTACATGGTAGTTAGTAAGTGGGCATCGCCGGGATATCCGGCGTCTCTTGATCTGACATCAACTAATTAGTTAGCCCTCAAACCGACCAACTCGCAACGCTGGCTGCGATGTGATCTTCAGCAGCGTTTTGGGGGCAGAACGAAAATCGTTGCCAGCCTGAAGGTCGGCGTGTTTCCCAAAGCAGCACGACCCGGTCATCCGCTAAACTGCAATAGGCAAATCACGGGCCTCGGCGGGAAACACGCCGCGCGTCGCGCTCGCGACAAGAGCATTTTCTTGGCTCTGTGCATCCCCAACATTCTCTGGCGAGTCGCTGCCAAGCCACAAAGGAAAATAAAAGAAGAGAGGAGAGAACACAAGAGCAGGAAAGACAGGAAAGGGAAGGGAAAGGGAACGTAACGGGCGGAAGGCGCTCTAGATCATCATCCACAAGCGGGCAAATAGCTCACCGAACTATTGAGTTGACTGAGCCACTAAGAAGCAGATCGTGCGCGCCTCCCGCACTAACTTGCATGAACTACTCGTCGCTCGCCGTCCTCTCACAGTTCAGTGACGAGGTCGGAGGTCCTCGACTCGCCGCCCCCCTTGCTGAAGCCTCTCTGATGGCCGCGTGCGGTATGTTCCACGACGATGGGTCTGGGACACAGGATTTCCTTGGGCGTCACGTTTTTGTTGAAAAAAAAAAAGAAAAGAAAAGGAAATCCCCTCTGTGACCATAACGCCGCTGTACCAGGACGGTGGCCGGTGAAGCTGCACAGAGTGATACCGAAAATCTCCCTCGAAAGCTTCATGTGAAGGCCACCGGCGGCGTGCGACCACGCTGAGCGCCCTGCTCTGGTTGAGTGTGTATCCCTCGGGGGGGGCAAACCGACTGGATGGCGGCATTCCAAATAGTACGTGAGGATTTACAAGCATTGGTCCAATAGTGATCCGAGCGTCACCTCTAGCTAGAGGATGACATCTGGCCACTTCATGGGGGTTCCCAGCTTCCCAACCGGTGCAGCAGTGGGCGATTGATGACTCCGTAGATGGACGTCATGCCGATGTTAGCGAATACGGTGGCCCAAATACTACCATCATTTTTGGTTTTTTTCTTTTGGTTTTTTCTTTCTTTTTTTTTTTTTTCTTTTTGGTACTCTGTACCGACAGACCACCAAGCGAGCTGCAGCCACGCTCGGCGAAAGAACTGAGTCTCACATTGGCACACCAATAGTTTGCCTTGGTACGCGACAGCCGCCGAGTCCAGAACTGGCGTTCGTCCGAAGCAAATACTCAATCCGGAGGATTTTGCGCCACCTTTGAGCAGTAAGGATGTACTCCCTGAATACGTATGTACTATGTGCTCCGTACCCTAGCTGGTATTCTTCAGTGAAGCCAGGCTTGCAGGGAGCCAGGGAGTTGAGAGCTCTTCCCAATGTGTGTGGTGGTCACTGGTGGGCCCCCTTCCCCTCCAAGCAGTTCGTTGACTTCGTTTCCCCTCTCGCCCGGGGGATCCACTGCGGAGAATAATGGCCGCCCGACGTCCATTCCAAACTACGTGACGGAGCGGGCGTCATCTGTCAAAAGACGAATAAACTTTGCTCAGCCGGGATTGATCGTCCATCCACATCGTGAGCACAGTCCCGTCAAAAGGGGAAGAGAGGGGGGAGAGGATGGAAGATCTCGCATTCAAATCTCATGATACGGAGTACTTTGTCAACGTGATCGGTCGTTAACCCCGATGCTATCGGGTAACCTCACCCTTGATCAAGGCCCGCTAGGTTATACAGGATGGAACGGAACTATCGGTCTTGGACGAATCATCATCCACAGCTTACGGAGTAGTTAGAGTACAGCTCAGCTCAGAGAAGCCCTATTCAGAGCGGACCCCAAAGCGGACCCAAAAGCTCTTTGATCCTTTCGACCTTTTCGAGGACTGACTGACCTGTCTCTATCCTTGGGACTGATTGCGTCTCCTCCATCTGTGAGGGGGATGAGGTTAGGGATGAGACTGTCTCGTCACTCGCAGCCAAGCTATTCCGTGCAAGCATTGGCAGCGAGGGGGGAGAGAGAAAGACACATACACACACACACAGAGAGAGAGAGAGAGAGAGAGCTTTGAATAATCCTCCGTGAGTCCATTCCGTCTCTGGTCAACATGTCAACCCGAGACGGAATGTTGGCTCATCCTTGCCTGCCGGACTATTGGCACTGGATGCAGTGAGTGGACACCGCTGTCGATCCGTCGCTCACCCTTTGCCTTGCTTCCAGGCCTCCTGATTGGTATCAAGAAAAGAAAAGGGTTTTTTTTTCCCCTTCCAAAAAAAAAAAGGCGCGAAAATAAAAAATAAAAATAAAACAATAAATCGGCATGAGAAAAATGAAAGCCCAAACGGGACAAGACCAGAAGAAGGGGAAAAAACTCCCCCCCTACCAAAATTACAGCCCTCTTTTTCTCCGGTTACGCTTGACGCCCCTCCCCAGACGCCTTGTCTGGTAAGCTCCCCCCCCCCCCTTTCGGCCAGTGTCACTGACAGCGGCTCTCATTCCTAATCGCCCATGTTCATGCACGCCACCGCGTCCTTCCCAGAGAGGAGAGAGGAGGAGGGGGGTGGGGGGGGCAAACTAGCGCTCATTATTGGACTGACCTGCCCCAGTTCTTTTCTCGCCATTATCCCAGATACGTCCTGGCCTAAGATCTGCGATGACGGAGATCCGAATGTATCGGCTGCTAGTTGGACCCTGTACTGTCCACTCAACCATTTCCTTCTCACACACTCTCTGCCCGCGAGTCCTGACAAAGGAAGAGAAGTCCCTCGGCGTCGAGGAGAGAGGGAAGGAAAGCAAAAGAGAAGGAGAGAGAGAGAGAGAGAGAGAGAGACAAGGCCCTCGGCCCACGATATTTCTATTGCTCCTGCCTCTGTTGCTTGACGGTAGGATCTTGGTCTGACCCGATCTGTACTCCACTGCAGGTCCGGAACACTGAAGGGTTCCTGTTTGGGGAGTCACTCACTCACTAACTATCCATCCGTGGTCTGTTGTCCTGTCGTTTCCTCCCATCTCCCCCGCCCCTTTCCACCATTCTGTGGCAGATTATCACTTTGTCTTTGTGGTGGGCCTGGTCGTCGATAGCAACTTGTGGGCGCTGTCGCTTTTCGATCATCTCGTCCCGTCTTGCCCTACCCTGCCCTGCGCAGCGACATCTTGAGAAGAAGTCTACGGTCGAGACAAGAAAGAGGGAGGGCAAACAAAAAGAACGAGGTAAGAATCGGCGGATATCGCATTCATCATTCCTCGATCTCTTTGTGTCGCGTGTGTACTTTGTTCTTGAGCTCCACCGATCAACCGCTAGGCTGCAAGATGCCCTTTCCATTGCAATAGCGAGGAGAATTGAGGTCGCTACGCCCTGTCGATCTATGAATTCTTGCAAAGGAAAAATGACTCCTCCGGTCGTGGGCCTCAGACCGACCGTTAAAAGAGCTCTTCAATCCTCTTGTTGGCTCGAGGTCGAGATCGCCATCAGGCCCGAGTTTTCGGAACTTGGGTACATACATATCACGACGCAGCTTCCAGCTGTGCGCGCATCTGTGTGGAGAGATCCAACGATTTTGTCATTTCTTTTTCTCATGCTGCTTTGATTGGATTCTCCTTGGGCCAAAAAAACAAGGAACCTTTTTCCTTTTTTTCCCACTCCCCAAATTGGCCGTTTTTCTATTCTTTCTTTTTTTTTTTTTTTTTT